CTTGGGGCGGACGGGCGGGGCGTTCTTCGTGTCGGGGAAAGTGCTGGGGGAACGGGGGAAGGGGGAAGTAGCGCGGGGGGTGTGAGAGGGGTGCATTCTGGGGGTTGGCTGGGGGATGAACTGTGGGTTGGGGGATGGGGGGGTGGGTGCTGGGGTTGTGGTGGTTGTTGATGATGATGATGGTGGTGGGATGGTGGTTGATGGTTGGGAGGTTGCTGGTGGTGGGGCTAGCGGGCTGGTTGGGGGGGACGGAAAGAAGGATGGGTTAGTTGTCATGTGTTGAGATGTGAGAGAAGAGTTAGGTTACGGAGGAACTCACTCGGCGGCGTCGAGCGGACCTTTGGTGGAGGAGCGAGGGCGGGTGGCTTTGGAGTTTGGCAGGTCAGGACCAGATGTCAAGTGACGGTGGCTGGACGTACCTTTGACGGCCGACCGGGTCCGTTTGTGGCCCTTGCCGTCTTCTGGTTGTGTCTGATCCATTGTAGTGTTTGGCAAGCGCCTGGTGGTACTGATAATGGAATGTTGGGAACGATTCGCAGTGTAAACCAGGGGACGGAACTGGAGTGAGGTTGAGAACGATGGGGCTGGTGGGGCAACTTGCCATGCCTCATGACAGCTGCGTCTGGCCGTCAGCACTGAAATCGGGCCGCCAAGACAAGATAATGGACACTGTAAAGTGAAATGCCTATCAGGTATCTTTTGAGGTTTATTAACTATCTTTCAAGGTATATCAACTATTTAGAAGGTGGAAGGTCTGCTAATACTTGTTTGAAAAGGCCTGTTAGCTATATTTTGAGGCCTATTAACTATCCTTTTTCAGGTCTATTGCTATCTTCCAACGTCCATTAACTATTTTCGAAAGCCTGTCAATTAGGTTCAAGTCTCGATAACCGTGTTTTGTCCACGACGTACATGGCAACTGCCACTGCCTACATTACCTATCAACCTGCCCTCCGTCGTCCGACAGCAACATGAGCCAGAGGATTTCTTGCACACCTGGCTCTTTCACAATCTTCCAACCTACCAACTTAGCCAGGCGTCACATTCATTCATCAAAACACATTCATTCATCAAAACATCATTACAAACAACTATTAGCGCCCATCGTCATGGATCACGATCGCCATGCTCGACGAGAGTGGAGTCACCGTTCGCGGGGTTACAAAATGGAGGGCCCTGTTTCCGGAATGATCGAAACTCTCGAAAGTGGAATAGGTGTCGTCAAAACGCACCATGTCGAGATGAAACGGAACCTCCACTCGGCTTTCGCCATCCATTCGTCTATACATCTAGCCGACCAGCGGGGCGGGTTCGATGAGCGTTGTCGAGACCCCGGCCTCCTCGACAAAATCATGACTCCACTGCCCATGGGCGCAGGCGACTTGTTCCCCGGGTGCTATGTATCAAAGCGTGCGTACGAGGAGTGGGATGTCGACGGCAAGGACACCATCACGATGCAACTTTGTTGCGAACAGCCCAATCACTTGGGTTTGCCACCGGAGGCTATCACAGCCAATTTGGCGGTTGAGCTGTCTCCTCCCGCACCGCCCAACAGAAAGGGAGCGAAGTGGGAAAGGCATCGATATGGGCAGGTTTGGTTCCGGTTCAGCCTGAGCATGGAGACCGACATCTTCAACATGGTGACCAAGAGTCTGGACTTGCCCGGGGAATTACGAGCCATCAGGAAACTTCTCGCCACCGCCGACCTGTTGGTGCAAGCAGCAGCTGAGAATACCATACATTGCAACTATGGGAACAGACCTTGGTAGTGCAAACCCGTCGTGGCGCCCTCTGGGGCATCTAGCAATGCGCCTGATGCCTTCGGCAGTAGAGCCGATGTCGTTTCCGCTGATACGGCTGCTGCCACTACAGCACTGGTGAACCTTCAAGGGGCTGGGGATCAAGAGGTGGCGAAGTTGACGGCCGAGAGGGACAAGTTCAGAAGTGATTGGGCGATGCTATCGACAGAGATACGAAACTTGAAAAATAATCTGGCCGTCGAAAAAAACAGCGCGGAGACGGCAGAGAAGAAGTTGGAGAAGGCAGAGAAGGGGCTGGAGAAGGTAGTTGAGGAGAGGGATAGGTTGAAGTCAAACTCCGAAAGGCAGGCCAAGCAAATCACAGCCCTGAATTATGCTCAAGTAAAACTCAGGAATGAGAACGCAAAACTCAAGGAGGAGCGGACAGAGGCGCAAAATACAAAGAAGAAGTTGGAAAGAGAAGCCAAAGACCTCAGAGGGAAGAACGCTGTCTTGGAGGAAGATCGGAAGGCCGAAGAGGACAGGCAGCAGAAGGCTCGTGAGGAGGAGGACATGAGGCAGAAGATGCTTGATGCCAGAGAACGGAGCTTTTGTGAATGGGAAAGGTTGCTCGAGCAGAGGGAAAGGTCACTGGCCGAGAAGGAATGGTCACTGGCCGAGAAGGAATGGTCACTGGCCGAGAGGGAAAGGTCACTGGCCGAGGGCGCGCCTCAGCCGCAGCAGGAGGCCCTTCAGAATGAGACTTCTCAAGCAGACAATAACACCATTCCGGAGAAGTCTTTCCGTCCGATTCCGGCATCTGACAATGCGGCAAGTGAAAGAAGGCAAAGTATTTGAGAAGGTGACTGTTGTTTTGGTTGGGAATGCTTGTGTCGATGATCTGTGGAGCAAGGATGGAAGGATTGGGTGGGTTATGGGGTAGCGATTGGAGATAGCGGATAATGAAGAATTTTTTGTTTGTTTGTTTATGTGAGTTGTTGTGCGATGTGAACAGAGCGAGGGGGGTGTTTATTTTGTCTAGTTATTACGTCTATCTAAATGACTTCGAGGATGGCCCCCCAAAAACAATAGTATCTATCATCACCGGGAAGAGAAGATTTCCAAAAGCAGGACACAGCCCAAAACCAGACGCCAGAATACCAAACACCAAACACCAAACACCAACGGCACCTCCGAAAATATCTATCAGTCCCTCATGAAAGGCACCGCCTCTTCCTCTTGTTCAGATCGAGATGAGCGTCGTCTAAAAGCTGCTGCAGTGAGCCCGTGTGGTGTCAGCCTGGAAGCAAGCCCCGTCTCCTTTGCACTGGGAGGAAAGCTCCCAGACGTTGGCCACGTTGCAGACGTAGATGGCGCCGTCGGGGGGCGGGGCGCCGAACTGGTTCCCGCAGGCGAGGTTGCCGGGTGTTGTGCACGAGGCTGCCAAGCTCAGGCGGACAAGAATGGCGATGAGGCAAGCCGTAAAGGGGTTTGAGAGCATTTTGAATATTGAGAAAGTTGATGATTAGAGTGAAGCTGGTGAATGGGGCAGTGGTTGTGTTTGCTGGGTATGCGGTTGGTTTTTTTTTTTTTAAAAAAAAAAAAAAAAAAAAAAGAGGGGGGAAGGATGGTGTTGATGGATGGCAACCGGGGGTGGGGGGAGGGAGATGGCTGATATATAGGGACATGCGAAGATTTGTTGTAGCTATTTATACGGTATCATCTTGTTCAGGTATATATTGGTTGTTTCTATCTCGAGAGACCACCGGTGAGACCAAGACGGACCGGTGTTAGGCCAAGCTCAATTACAATTCGGAAGTTTTGCGTTCACAAATGCAACTCCGATGGTGTGTTCCATACTCTTGAGGAGCAGTAAAGTGTACGACATTCAAGAGACGTTAGGAGGAAGCTGGAGGGAGGTCCGGTGTTACAAGACGGCACGGTCCATCAAAAATCGCCAAGATATATCTAAGCGGGCATAGAACCGATGGAAACCCGGATGGTGTGCCTGGGGAGGCAAAGTCAACGCCTCAAGGCCCATTATCAAGCCGGAAGCATCTTTCAACCGCCCCAAAAACACAGCTCGCAGGTCATGACATCTATTTAAGGAGTGTAAAGCTCTCAAGTGGGTATATAAGCGAACGTAAAAAACAGAGAGAGAGATGTAAAAAAGGACTGTCGTGGGGCCCGTTCCTGTGCCACCAAAAATGTCAAAGACGTGCCGTGATTCCGTAAAAAAAAAAAAGTCTATATATGCGCAACCAAAAATATCTAACCCTCCGCCGCGCTGCCCGAAAACAAAGAAGTAAAACAACCGATCAAAAACTCCAACAGTGGCGGGTCAAGTTAGTCCCGAGTGATGGTCCACTTTGTCGAGACGTGGATGGCCGAAGGTTCGGTTGGGGAGCCGACTTCTGGGTCAGGACGTGCTGCTGTTGACGTTGTCAGCTTGCGTTCAGAGCACCCGTCGTTGTTGCTGTCCGAGTCGCGGTCTTTGTCGTCCTCCTAATGGAAAATCAGTCAGCATCATTGTTGGGCTGGAGTCGATGGAAGATACAACAAACATACCAACTCGATCCAAGCATTGTAGTTGCCCTTGACTGATGGTAATGGCGTGGCCTTGCCGCTTCGTGCGCCTTGGCCTGTGCTGGGGTCGGCATAGCCAGAGTTGTCGGCGGACGACTTGTACTTCTTTCTCCACCGAGTGTAAAAGGGCCGGAGCATCGGAATGTTGATGCAGATGCCAGCAAGCATGAGTTCGATGCTGCAGAGCATAAAAGTGGTGAAGGAGGTGCCGGTGAAGTTGCCAACCATGTCGATGACAAAGATTTCACCAAAACGGACGAGGCCGATAACGACGCAACTGGACATGCAGTGTTAGACTGGGACAAACATTGGGCGAGGCAGGGAACGTTGCATACGCGAGTCCGATGGCAAAGCACGAAGCAACGGCAACCTTTTCTGTCGTCCTCATTTGCAGTGACCAAACCGTCCGCATGGGTAGGACGATGATCATGAGGTCAGTCAAGATGTTGGTCATGATGACACACTTCAGCACCAAGATTTGGTCCATGCATTTGCCGATACGCATCAGTGTCCACTGTTGCTCAATGGGGTCGCAGAGGAAGGTCAAGACAAAGGTGAAGATGATGGCCCAGGCTATGCAAATGCCCGAGACGATCCAGATCCAGACTTTGAGATGTACGGAAAAGGCGCGAAGGTAAAACCACAGCTGGCTCATCTTGAGGGCAAACAAGGCCCAGACGTAAACGATGGTGAAAATGAAGGTAATCTTCATCATGAACTCCAGGTTGTTCATGACTGTGACTTGTCAGTACAGCCGTCGATCGCTGGCAGTCTTGCATATGGGCTCACGTGTGGGAAATAGCGGGGAGTCTGGGACCATGTCGTGCCCTACACCAGAGGAAAAGACTGCAGCATTGAACCCGATGGTGGTTCCAGTAAGGCACTGTTCAATTTGCCCATGGTTAGAACCCGTCGGCCACGGCAGCATCCCCCCAAGAAGCACTCACAAAGGCAGCGACAGCCAGAACATCATCGAGTCCGAGCCCGATCCCCCTGTGTCGAGCAACCACCCTGCCGGCAACCACAAACCCAAAGACGACCCATAAAAAAGATATCGCAATCATGGCGTCCCGGGCCCGGTCGACCATGGGGATGTTTATCCTTTCGCCCATCGTTCCTGTGTGTCTGTCGTCGCCCTTCCTCTGAAGCCTCCTGTCAAAGAACCGCCTGTGAATCCAACAATCGCAATGGGGTATGGTAGGGACCGTCCGTGTCGTGCCGTAAAACAAACAAAGGAGCGTGACGAAGAGTTGATCTGAAGAGCAACCGTCTGTGCTAGGGCACGAGCCGTGGGATCAAAAAGTATTTTAAACGAGCGACACGAATGGCAAGGAGCAAGGAAAGTTTTCAAGTGCTCATCTGTGAGCAGTGATCAGCATTCTCCCCGGAGAGACGTTATGGGTGCTTCTTCTCAAACACAACCCCCGTCGCGATTTCCGGCTTCGGGTGGGAGGCGAAGGAAGAAGGCGTCAACGTTTTTTTCTTCTTGCGGTCATTCTGGAAGAGGCCATGACTGATACGGTGTTGCAGTGCATTTCCCTCCCAACAGGCTCCCCATCATCTCCGCCGACAGGGAGCTGTAATGAAGCTGGGCAGATCAAGGAGGCCGGAACGGCACCCGGACTAGCCTCCGGAGACGCGACAGTGCTTTTTGTTCTGGGCCCTTTCCTGCCGGTCGGTCACGGAAAGCAGGTAGGTAGCATATGGCCAATGCTGATGAGACAAAAGCTGATGTTGATGCCCCCGGGGCTCTCGGCCCAGTTCCGCGTGGAAAAGACCGGCGCTGGAGCGGTCGGTCTTGGTATTCTCTTGGCGGTGGGAAGAGCGGGCACTTGGAGCTTGATAGGTGGCTCTTTTTGCGCTGCTGATGGAGCTCGTTTCATGCACTCCCCTGCTTCTTGGTGGCATTTCCGGTTTTCGCTCAAAATGTCGTGGGCAAATTCCCTGACCAAAAATGCAAACTGTGGTTCGGCAGATGGAGCTGGGAACATGGCGGTAACACCAGAAAACGGCTGGCTTGGCGGTCGTCGAAGAATGTCCCGAGCGACTGGAACCGACACAATCCTTCAAGATCTTTGGCAGCGGCCGAACGTCACATGTTTCTCCTCTGCCGCATGCCCCATCACCAACAACCCAGCCGGTCGGGTTCGTGGATGGCGCCATGGGCAAATGAGAGAGAGGGTTGAACCGTGTGAAGAGTGAACACAAGTTTTTTTCCCACTGGGAACTTGGACAAAACAGCGGGGAGAGAAGGCCGGTGGAGAAAGCGGATTGGTCAGTTGCTCCACTCGGCAACACGGCCACTAAGTGCCGCTGCGACCCGCTGCACTAGTGCTGCTTGGCACATCCTTCGCCTCTCGGCGGTTACTACAAGGTTCACCTTTTGATTTTCATCAGCGGTCGAAGCTGCACCTCTCGACGGATACGGCAACGGCCACTTTTTCTCATATCAATCATCTCGCGCTCTTCGCTGCCGTTTTGCCATCCTGGTCCCGCTGATCCGGACAGGACAACTGATCGTCAGGGTCCAGACATCTGAGACACTCTCCAAGTTGCCAAACCTGAAAGACGCCGAAAGTTCAACCGCCACCAAAAGCATCGTGAGTCCCACCTCACGATACAACATTTTAACCAAGTTGCCCCTCACCTCGCTTCGGCTTTGCAGCAGCACGCATTCAGGGGCACGACGTGCCAGGCTCACCTCACCTCCCCTTCACTCCCATTTCCTCGGAACTCCCTGTCACCCCAGCCAGAAACCATGCTGACAGCCCACACCCTTCAGCCTCGTCCAATCTTGTCATTGAAAACCATCTTTCCGTCACCATTGCTCTCGCCAGCAACACCATCATGGTTGTCCTGGTGTTTCTGCCGGCCACGATGGCGGAATATGCTATTCACGTGGAGGCGGCCTTTACGTGACAAGCCATGTCACAGAACAACTATTGAACCCCAGTGCCAGCGAGGTGGTCGTGATCGACAGCCCAGGCAGAACCGGAGGAGACTCCTGCCCGGTTTTCTCGGAGTCTCTTCCCGCATCCGGTTTAACCAAGTGGGCCACCACTTTGCTAAATATGCTATGCCAGTTAACAGCACATAACTCACCACTCTCACCTCCACGTCGCCGTCAGTCTCCAAGATGGCGGGTCTCGTGTGCTTTTTCGGTCTAGCAACTGATGAGAAAGCGGAGTCGCGGTGAGGGATGTAAGACCTAGTGTGGTGATAGGGAGTAACTGTCGGTTTTCAAAGTGGCATGCATGGAGCCCTGATGAGGAGATCCCTCCCTTTTCCAGCTCCCCAGGACGCTTTCCTCTCTTCTTATTTCTCCTGGGTTCTTCTTTGATTCTCCAAACTGCCGTGCCCCAGCTCGGCAGATGGATGACGGGATTCCTACGACATCAACCATGGAGTCGAAACATATGTCGGGCATTTTGAGTGCTGACGGCCTCAAGTCGGCCATCACCCTCACCTCCGTTTTGTCAGTGGTTGGCGTTTGGCTCGGTTACCGCATCCTTGTTTGCCTGTACAACATCTCGCCCTTCCATCCTCTCTCCCGCTTCCCCGGACCCAAGATCGCGGCTGCCAGTTACGCGTATGAAGCCTACCATGACTGGATTCGCGGGGGAAGATACGGCCCCAAGATTCAGGAGATGCATAAGCGCTATGGTAAGTCGGATAAACAAGCCTCCCAAAAAGAAACAACACTCGCTTACCAGAGCACCCTACGTCCAGGCCCAATCGTGAGAATCAACCCGGATGAGCTTCACTGTTCCGACCCCTACTTCACCGATGAGATCTATGCCGGTCCTGGACGCATCAGAGACAAATGGCAGCATCAGCTCAACACGGGTGGCGCCGGCCCTGTTTCCGTGACGGGCTTCTCGACTGTTCCCCACGAGCTTCACCGTTCGCGTAAGGGTGCCCTGTCCAAGTTCTTTTCCCGCCAGCAGATGTTCAAGCTCGAGGGGGAGGTGCTCGACTTCTGCCACTTGACGATTGACAAGATGCTCCGCTGGTCTGGGAAGGAGGCTTTTGACATCAAGGAGGCCTTCAACTGCTTTACCGCCGATGTCATTTCCCAGTATGCTTTTGGCGAATCCATGGGCTTCATCGCTCAAGAACAATGGGAGCCCAATCTTGCGACATGGACCGGCTCCTTCATGAAGAGTGCTTATCTGATGAGGCACAACGCCCTGGTCCGCAAGATGACGAACGTGATGCCCCTCGTGGCTGACTATTTGGGCGAGGATATCAAGAACGTGATGCACCAGATGGGCACTGTCATCCCTGGCTACATCAAGGCGTCTCTGGATGACCCCAACGGCGGCCGTGTGTTTGCTGAGCTTGTCAAGTCTAAGGCTCTCCCTGCGGAGGAGATGACTATGTATCGTCTCTCTGGTGAGGGGTTCAACTTTTTGCTTGCCGGTACCGAGACCACCGCGGTAAGTTCATGTCCCCTGGCTTCTACCTGCCCTGTCCGCTAACATGGTTCAAGGCCACCCTGTCCGTCATCACATTTTGGCTTCTCCAACAACCCGAAACCTACAGAAAACTGATGGACGACCTCCAAGGTCTGACACCGACCAACATCAAGTGGGCCGAGCTCGAACAGCGCCCGTACCTCTGGGCCATTGTCCACGAATCCCTCCGCATGATGCCCGGTGTCTCGCACAGATCTGCCAGAATCGCCCGTACCGAGGACCTGGTGTACCGCACCCGGGATGGCAAGACTGAATGGGTCATCCCCAGAGGCACTCCCATCGGCATGACCAGCATGATCAACCACTTCAACGAGGAGCTCTTCCCCAACCCACACTCCTTCTCCCCGGAGCGGTGGTTGATTGACGGAAAGCCAAACTACAAGCTGCAGAAGTTCTTGATTGCCTTTGGCAAGGGCAGCCGGTCGTGCATTGGTGAGAGCTTGGCCTACTGCGAGGTGTATCTCATGACTGCCCTGATCGCCATGCGCATCATTCCAAGGGCCAAGCTCGTCAACACCACGTATGAGGACAACCTCAAGTACGATCATGATTGCATTGTGCCTCATTCCAGAAACGGTCCTGTCACTGTCCATGTGCGGATCCAGTAGGGGTTGGACACATGAGGAGACAGAAGAAGAGGTAGAGAGAGGCAAGAGTACACGACGTGTTGTCAAGGGGGACGCATCCATGCGCTGGTCACATGGCGAGGGAGCGCATATATCGGCCAAATATATCAGCCAAACACACGGGGGCCGATAGGTAAACAGCATAGCACGATCTACAATAATTTACAAATCATCCCAAAGTCAAGTCGGAATACATCGGCAAGCAGCAGAGAGGAGATAGCCGAGCTGCCCCAGTGGTCCGGGCCTGACTCGGAATTGCCTCGGGACATGTCTGCACGTGCGATGCAATGCCAAACCTTATAGGTCTCTGCACGGCCATGACGGCCTAGGCTCTGTTGGATCTTTCCGCTTCCCCTCTTCGTCCTCTTGTTGATTCCAGCCATCTCATTGCCACACTCGCCAGAGCCAAGCCGGCCATCGTGTTTTCCCGGCAAACGTCCATCTGAATCAACAATCTATTTTCCATTTGACGCAGATAATGCTAGAAAGCAATACGCATTCGAATACAATCGTCACCACCATCAGACTGGACTTCCGGCGACGCCACACCCCTCCCCCCTCCCTCTTCCCCCCGTGGCCGCCTTAGGTATCACGGGGCCAGCATTTAAGGGGGGCCCCGAGCAACTTGCTACACATCGTGAGATGTCACGAAAGAAGATCCCACCTGTAAACAACACAACAACTTTTATCTTTGTTCGATAATGGCAGTATCGTGTCCACAATGGGAACACTTGTTCCTCCCTGGTACAAACCAGATCCACCCAGCGAGCACTCGCTGGACCTCGCCAGCTTCCTCTGGGGAGCCTCGACAGCCATCGCATGCTTCAGCTTTGCCAAGGCTGTCCGCCAGACCAGGCGGTCATGGCTTCATACCCACAAGGTCAACGCCTACATTGTCATGGTGTGGCTGGAGTGGACTGCTTGCGTGATCATGTCGGTCGTCAGCTGGTTGTTCCTCATTGGGATCATCCCGGTGAGCTTTTGGATCTTCTTTGGTCTTCGTAAGTGGCCTTGCTTATCCGTCGACCACAAAGGTTTTCTGGCTGATGGAATATTTGCAGTCGTTCTCTGGGTAGTTCAGGTACGTCCTCCCCTTGACGTATTCCTCCTGTGAGCCGCCATCTTCTTTCCCCGTCACCACCCACCCCCCAGCATCACCATCCTCACTAACACCCAACCCCCACCTCACAGATCCAATGCCTTTCCCAAATCCTCTGCAACCGTCTCTCCCTCCTCTTCTTCAACCCCGACGACGCCCGGCGCCTCAAACTCGGCGTTGGCCTCGCCGTCGGCATGATCAACATCAGCGTCTTTTGCATCTGGCTCCCCGCTCGCCTCCAGATCAGCGAGACGTTCATCAACCTCAACAACATCTGGGACAGGGTTGAAAAGGCCCTCTTCCTGATCATCGACTGCTGCCTCAACATCTACTTCATGTACATGGTCCGCACAAAGCTGATCGCCAACGGACTGAAGAAGTACGAGCTGGTGTACAAGTTCAACCTGTCCATGATGGTCGTGTCGCTGTTGCTGGATGTGGGTATCATTGCTCTGATGTCATGGGAGGATGATGCTGTGTACGCCCTCCCCCCCCCTGTTTCCCCCAACAACCAAAAGGCTAACGTTTTTTCGTCCCCAACAGATACATGCAAGCACACCCCCTCGTCTACCTCGCTAAACTCTGCGTTGAAATGAACCTAGCCGAGCTACTAGGTAAAGTCATCCAGAAGTCCCGCGAGCGTCGCACCACCCCGTTTCTCCGAACCCACATCGGTAATATCACCTCGCCGTTGACACGAACGACAACAGCAGCCACTGCTACCACGACAGCCAATACGATGCCCACGTCAATACTACCCGACGGGAACATCTTTGGGGGGTGCCCGCACTTTCGGCATCTTCCAGGTTGCAACTGGGATAACAACAACAACAACAACAACAACGATGCGAGACTGTTTCACCGAAATTGGAACCTCAATATGACTGGGTCTGCTGGGCATAGGGAAGGGAGTTATACCGGGGGGGAGTTGTATAATTATTTTGCGCATGGGGGACCGGGGGAAAGGAGGAGGACGACGGGGGATATTTTGGATGATGCGGCGGGTTTGTGGAGCAGTGGGGAGGATACTCCGGTGGTGAGCCCCCGGGTGGAGAGGAATATTGAGGCGGAGGGGGGGTTGGGGAGTTTGGGGAGAAATAATCAGGAGCGGAGAGATGATAAGGGTAGTGAGACCAACAGAGCTCGGGGCAGGAAGGGGGGTGTTGAGAGGCCCACCGGGTCCAGGAAACCTAGCGCTGGGTCGAGCACGCTTGTCCAGCAGGAGAGTGGCAGTGGGAGTGGTAGTCGTGGGAGTAGTATCAGGAAGGAGGGGAGGGATAAGAGGGAGGGGGAGGACCATAGGAGGAGTAGGCATGATAGGTAACAGTGGGGGGGCCGGGAGGGGTGGGGGGTTTGTCATAGTATTCCATGTCATGATACCAGATACCAGATTTGCTTTTGAAAGAGGTCAATCTAAGTTTTATCAGGCTGTTCTCTAATCTGATGCAATCATGGTTGCTATGCTGGCCTGGGGTTCAGTCAGTGGCCTGTGGGTTTGGGTGTGGCAGTGGGACTCACGGAGATTCAGGGGTTCAGGGGTTCATGCATAAAAGGTGGCCATTTTACTCGCACTCTACCTTGGACAAATCATTGACTTTTTATTCTTTACTTTTAGTGCCTCACACCCGTACAGGCCTATTTTGCCCCTCTTATCAGGGCAATCCTGTGCCTATTATGTGGCCTGCGAGCCCATAGTGTCCATGTCCCGTCTTCCGTGGAGAGCGGCCTGCGAGCGAGTCACTGTCACGGAAAGGACGCTTTCAAAGCCCCGGTGAGGGCTTAGTTGTAGTATTTTGTGTGTTTTTCCCACCGTTTAAATGTTTCATAAAGAATGGGAAGGTTGTGATAAAAAAGGGATGGATATGATGACTGACCATGGCCTCACAGGGTGTTTAGTGGAAGGATCTCTGGTTTATTTTGCCTGCCTGGCATGAGTCGCGCCATTACGAGCCTTTTCCAGTAGCATCACCGGCATTCCATCGGGCCCCCAGCCCGTCCAGAAGTCACCTATCTACGCATTGGTTGACTCTCGACTACAGGGTCAAATGTCGGAAACTACCTGGTCTATCTTGCATTCTAGGATTTTGTGGTGCCACAGAAGGTTGAAAAGGCCCCGTAGCAAAAACGACGGTCCCAGCAAAGTCCTCCTGTAACTAAAGTGGGTAACAAATTCGCAATATAAACAGTCTCAAGCCCCCTCACAACTGAAAAAGACAATAAGCCAACAAGGTCAATAGAATCAAGTTTCTAGTCACACTTTTATAAGAGGCAAAGAAAGAAAGCCCATAGTCATGTATCTCAAGCCACACAAATTTCTAAATTCAACAGAGCACAAGCAAGCTGAGCTAGCTAGCTAGATAGATAGATAGATAGGCAATCCAAAGTTCAACTCAATCAAAAACCACCCCTTGCGTCCAGGAGCAGTCAAAGTTCCATCTCTTTTCTTTTTTTAAAGAAACAAACAATGCTATTTCTGTCATTCTTCCAATTTCCAATCATCCCCAAAGAATCGAAAGTTGGGTAACGCAAAAGTATCAATCATCGTCAGACAATAACCCCTTTTCTCTCTTTCACAAGTTCCATTTCCTTCACTGATGCTTCTGCCTGGTCTTAGAAGACAAAATCTTCACACCCCCTGTGTTGATTTAAGCGGGAGTAGGGCGAGGGACGCGGGTGAAGCTCTTGGTGGGGAGGGGGGGAAGGGGGCGAGCGCTGCGGGTGGCGGTCGGCTTGGGGGGAGTCACTGGCTTGGTGGGCTTGGGGGGAGTCACTGGCTTGGTGGGCTTGGGGGGAGTCACTGGCTTGGTTGGCTTGGGAGGAGTGACGGGCTTCGTTGGCTTAGGGGGAGTGACGGGCTTCGTTGGCTTGGGAGGGGTCACTGGCTTGGTGGGCTTGGGAGGGGTCACTGGCTTGGTGGGCTTGGGAGGGGTCACTGGCTTGGTGGGCTTGGGGGGAGTGACCGGTTTGGTAGGCTTGGGGGGAGTGACTGGCTTGGTGGGCTTGGGGGGCTCCTCACGGGCAGCCTTGGTCCTGGTCAATGTTGGGCGAGGCGGGCGAGCGGTGCGGCTGATGGTCAAGACGGGGGGCTTGGTTGGCTTGGGCGGGAGCACAACCGAGCGAGTTGGCTTGGGTGGGAGCACAACGGAGAGAGTCGGCTTGGGGGGAAGGACGACAGACTTGGTTGGCTTAGGAGGAAGGACGACAGACTTGGTTGGCTTGGGAGGGGTGACAGGCTTGGTAGGCTTGGGGGGAGTGACAGGCTTGGTAGGCTTGGGGGGAGTCACTGGCTTAGTCGGCTTGGGAGGGAGGACCGGCTTCGTGGGCTTGGGAGGAGTCACGGGCTTGGTTGGCTTGGGGGGCACAACAGCGGACTTGGTCGGCTTGGGGGGGGGAGGGCGGACGGAGCGGGTAGGCTTGGGCTCATCGCGAGCAGCCTTGGACTTGGTGAGCTTGGGGGGGAGGACCGGCTTGGTGGGCTTGGGAGGAAGGACCGGCTTAGTCGGCTTAGGAGGGAGGACTGGCTTGGTCGGCTTGGGAGGAGCAACGCTCTTGGTCGGCTTCGGGGGAGGCGGCTTGACCGACTTGGTAGGCTTGGGCGGGAGAACCACGGACCTGGTAGGCTTGGGCGGAAGAACCACAGACTTGGTCGGCTTAACGGGAGGAACGAAGCCTGTGGGACGGCCAGTCGGGCGGGGGGGACGAGTAGCCACAAGGTCGACATCGGCATCAGCCACAGGCAGGGCAATGGCCTGCTGAATGGCCGCAGCCGCAGCGAGGAGGGTGATGAGAATGCGAGTCATCGTGAAATCTGTCTTGAGAGGGCTGTTCCCAGAAGCTGAAACTTACTACCCAAGTGCCGAAGAAGATGATGAGCCTGTCGAGAAGAGAAGCCGCTTCTAACCTGCACCGTCCACCACGTTTATATACTCACCGTGAGACCTCATCGACGCTTCCCATGCGCAATCACGATGCAACGATGTCGCCACAATCGTCGAGAAGCTCGTCCATGTCTGGCCGCGACTGAGCCAAGGATGCCGATATTGAGATTGCAACCCAGAGGACAGGACTTTTGACCATCTGGTGAATCACCTCACTGGCTCCCCCTGGTTGTAGTTCGACGTCCGGGCAGCGCAACGTTGAGGCGGTTGAATAGAGCGCGGTACAAATTAAAGGGCAAGCATCAATATAGTCGGAACTCAGCATACAGCATCTGCAGCAGCAATAACGGTGAGCAGCACAATTTGTGGCTCACAACGCGTAACGTCGTCCCCGGTAAATGTCGAAATCGGGGCGCACTCGTACCCATTTTCCCGCCCAACGGGAGAGTGGCGCTTAGCCGCAAACATGAGGTAAACATGTCGTGATCGACCTGCGAATATCGTCAGTTGAAATAACCGGATGGTGCAGATTTGTATAGACAGCTGATTGCCTTTCTTAGAATTGTACAGTTCCGCCAACCCGGTCAACCGCATGCGGGCCGAGTACCCAAGCCACAAAGCCCAGAGTTGCGGCTTTCATCAGACAAACATCGACATCAGACACTTCTCGACATCTTTCTTCCTCAGATTTTTTGATGTCCGATCTCAGCTGATTCAGGGGTATCGGCAGGTGTGGTCTTGGCATGCTCTTTAGCCTCACTAAGTGCCGGTAAGGCGATGACACCGATGCTTGTTGTGTGCTCGGAGCGATCTAGACTGCGATGGGTTTGTGGGGGGATAGTGCAACCACGGAGAAATGAGGTCGACGTAAGCTTCATAAGCTTATCCGGGACCTACATGACGAGCACTGGGTGGACGACAAGGTTGCAAAAGGCCTGGGGAGCGCACCCAACGGGACCAGCAGCTTGCATCATTCTCCACCCGGATCTTGTTGATTGGGATCGCCAGGGTGCCGTCGAGGTGGTGGATGGTCATACAATCAAGCGTGGTACAGTCGTAGAAGAACTCGGAGGCTGTTTACCCGCGAGCGCTAGGACAGAAACAGCTCCGTGACTGCCAATGTGGTCAATGTAGCCAAAGATGGTTGAGCACAACTCTGAGCGGATTGTCACCCGTTGGCGTCGTCATCACCACAACCTCTTCTGATCTAGCTCGAGAGAAACGGAATCTGCCGCTTTGGCGGGACAGGGTTAGCTCAGACTTTCCCCATGTTTTCGCTTCCTCTCGTCCAAGCAAGCTGTTGAATGCTACGCTGGTGGTGGTGTTTGGCTGTACTCCAGATATCGCTTCACACACGCTTCCAGTTAGCGAGAGGCGGGATCAGGGGTAAAGTCAACGGGGTCTCACCGAGGCTAAAATGGCGAGAATGCGGGGGGTGCAGCCAAAGCGAAGAAAAACGTTTCGGAATGGGGGTGGCTGCCCACATCCCGTCCGGAGGGCGGTTATCATGTCCGAGAAGAGATATGAGCAGGAGCAAAAGACGGGTCGAGCGGTGCGGACCCAGATCCGTACAGTGTTGGTTCGAGTTGGGGAACGGAACCCCTGGTTGGGGATAAGTTGGGTGCAATTCTGCGCCAAGTGGGAAAACGCCCTGGTTGCTACTACCATAGCTGTCCCTCCAATCGAGAGAGCCGAAAGTTCGAGAAGCGGGAGCTGGGAGTGACGAGAGAGCACCATGTGGAGGTTGTCGAATCGATGTGCCTGTCGAGCGTCATGTCAGAATTGGAAGAGGGTGTGAAGCAATCTGGCATCTATGCCCGATAACGGCAGGGGTAATGGTTGTCCAAGCTTGGACTTGACTCCTGAAGGCTTGATGGGTGAGAATGAGTTCCTTGCCTTCAAGTCAGTAACCCTAGAGGCTTGCAAGAAAAAGAAACCAGAAGGGTGAGAGATGGACAAGAAAAGCAATGAGGAGAACGGTCCGAGTGGCCCCAGGCGCACGAATTGCGGAGAATAGTGCAGACGATGAGCAAGTTGGAGCAGTGATGGTGTTACGTCTGAGTCTTGTCCCAAGGATCATGGTTCAAGACTTCGGAGAGGAAGGCACCGGATTGGTTCACGGCACTCAGACACGGTACGTGCTTGCCGTTCTGGTAGGATGATGCCAGGCCGGCTAGAGCTAGCCTGCAGGTGATGCTTTCCTTCCTGGTTTGAAGACAACTGCAAAGAGCTTGATGGGAATGCTTGCAAAGATAGCCAGCCAAATTCCCGTGTTGAACACTGTTGACAGAGGTGCAATCAGTACATTAATTATTAACGGGAATTGTCTTACCTGGGCCAACTTCCCAGTTCCCACACTCTGTGGATGTTCAGACCAGAACTTCTAAAGTATCCTACAGTTTCGTATTATGCCCCAAGTCTGTCCACACATCTAGTCCAACCCATTGTTCAGCCGCGCGTAGTGACCAAACGCGCTGCCCTCCTTTGGGGAATCGGTTGAGATCCGCGCAGTCGCCGCAGCTACACCTTACAGGACCGTGGCCGGAATAGGCCTCTGCAACGCTGGGCTCCTTTCCGACCTGCTTCTCCAGGTATGCTTCCAAAACGGCAAGCGCAAGCTCTTGGTAGCGGGGGAGTAGAGAGGGAAACGTTGGCTGCCTCTAGCGTAGATATGAGTTGGCGGACGAAGGGGAGCCAGAGGTAATGGGATTCGGCAGGCGGGACCTGGGCAGTGTTGGCGACAATCTTGGGGGAAAAGCGCATGGCTAGGTCGTCCCAGTTGAGTTCGATGCACCGGGCCAGGCACTCGGCCAAGAGATTGGGTGTGATGTAGGTCTCAGGATTCTGATGTGGTCCGTCCCGAATGGGCCTCATTTGGTAGTACGGATAGCCGTTACTGCGACTCTTTGAAGCATTGCGGAACTCGGCCTCTGCTGTTTCTACGGTCTGGAGCTTGGTGAGTGACATCGTATCGAACACGGACTTGAGCAGCAGCAGCTTGCAAATCTCCAAGCTCGCAGTCTTATGAAAGACGCCTTCGTTTGCTAGTTCAATGATTCTCATAACAGCAGCCGCAGCAAATGGTGTCAAGGAGGCTTGTTTTTCGATGACTGGGGTCAATCCAAGTATGAAGTCAGCCCGCGTGTCAGACCACGCGTGAAAGAATTATGCCTTGCCTTGTCTTCAAATAGTCAAAATCATGAAATTCCTTGATCATGGTGACAATGGCAGTCCCGGTCGACGCCATGACATTAGCCCCTAGGCAAGCTTCCAAGGCAGCAGGAACGACTTCATTGGCGGCCCATTGTCTAATCTGAGGATTGAATGAAGCATTGCTCGGCCGACCAAGCACTGTCAACAGTTGCATCCGAACAGCCGCTGGATGAGGCGAGATATACTGGGTGAGACTGGATAGTGTCAGCATTTGAACCGGGCATACTTTGAATAAACGTATACCTATCCTTGAATCTGTGTAAAATCAAACGAGTCCTCGGCTGCAGCCTTCTTGACGAGATCAAATAATGGCGTCCCGAGATTGAACCCGGCCTTGGTCCCGACCCAACCCTTGGACCGGCCAAACAGTTCGTACTCCCGGTTACTGCAGAACAGCCGCCAAGAACTTCAATGCAGTCTCTTCGTTGAAATCCCGCGTATCAGACTGCAAGATGTAGCCATATGGGTCCGGTTTGGCTGCCCATGCAAGCTGTGCGAGGGTGCGAACAATTTTCATTGTCGACTCGCGCACGTCTGGGTTGGAGCACTTCTCAAGGTAGCGTGGCAGAAGACCCTGTGCCTCTTTTTTTTGGACGTGCCTGTGATCAGGAACTGGTCGACCTCGTCGTTGGGAACAATGACGGCAACCTATCCCAGAGGATTAGTCGGACGGGCAATCGGAAGACAAGAGGAAAAACAAACCGCCAAGCGATACCAGTGTGACGCGGAGACTCCCTAAGGAAACATGATATGTCAGTTCAGTAGATACAAAGAAGACAAGACATGTGACATACCTCGTTGCCTGTGGACCCCCGAGTAATCTTCCTCCCCACGTGCGATATTCTCGAAAGGGTCTTCGTAATCCTGAACCAAGTTCTTGTCCAGGTCACCGTCTTCAATCTCCATGTTCTCGCGCAGCGTGTTTCCACCGGTCGTAGCGAGCTTCTTGATCTTGAACCTCGGGTCTATCATGTCAACCAATTCGTGCCAGCCTTCACCGTCACCTTCGTCGTCATCCTCGTCGGTCGACTCATATCTACCCCAACCTCTTCTACTACGGCGGTCGTATCGGTCGTAGTAGCCGCCACCGTCATAGCCGCACCCTCCATGTTGCCATTTTTCAATCACACCAAATAACAAGGTCGCATTGAGACTGTCGCATACATCCTCCAAGCAACGCATTCGGGTGACATCAGCGCCTTTCAGGCTGTGAAGCGAGGTTGGCCTCAGTGTATGTGTGGTGCAGCATGTAATACAGACGGTCAGCTTCCTTGTCATCGCTGCTCGGGCCCCGGGAGTCCAGCCAAGCACGCAGTGCATCTCGAACACCATACAGTCCCGGTGCATTCATGGCAGCCGATGGGCGGTTGACCTGAGGGGAAATGCCAAGGTTGTACGTCAAGCCCCAGCGGATGCCCGACGTGACAGGCAAGACCTCGTGTGTGCCATCGGAAAACCAGCATGCCATCGACGGTTGGACTTCTGACGTCTTGAACATCTTGGTAACATCCCTTTGCTTCACAACGAGGTCGCCACCTTGGTGCTCAGACGGAAGACAGATGACAAGAGCACCAAACATTCCCGGGATCTTCTCAGTACTGTAACCCCATGTTGGTAATCAGAAAGGTCATCAGAGGGTACCATCGGGGACAAACTCAGTGTGAGGCTTGAACATGGCACCCTTCTCGTAGATCAACACCTTGTACAGTTCGGCCCTCACGGGAGCAGTAATTCCCAGCTGCTGAGCGACTAGCTTGCAAGCAGCGCTGATGGTCGACTCCCACTGTGGGTGAAGCTCCAATTGGGCTGCATCCAGCACCCATGTGCTGCGAACCGAGGTGTCGACAAAGGCCTCGGTGCCTTTGCCATAGGGGGCTTGACGTGCCTTTTCAATCAGTTGTTGGGCACTGTCTTCCCCCAGAGGAAGGGCGACATGGCCAACATCGCGAACTGATATCGGGTAGAGGCTGGACTCGGTTAATTTGGCGAATGCCGCGAAGCTTCCGGCAGCCTTGATTCGATCCAATGCGTCGCAGAGCCCGTTCTTGATCTCGTCCAAAGGGGACTCGGACGGCGCAGGCGCGTCCGTAGTGCGATGAAATGATGCCACAAAGACGAGTTGTCCCGCTATAGGGTTGAAGTGGGCGAACATACAGACTGTCATTTCCAGGGAAATCCGATGCAGATTTCGGAAGACATACTGCCAAAAACTGAGGAAGATTTCTCTCCCTATCTTCTACATTCACACCCCTCAGTCTTCCAATGAATCTGAAGCATGTAAGCGCCGACAGAAAAACAAAATTGAAAATAAAACGGGTGGTAAAAAGTACAGGTACTTCGGTAGATCGAGCTTGTATTGTCAGGCTTAGGCGAAATGAGCATGAAGCATAACTTTTGCATATCTGGACATTTACCACTCCGATCTCTGAAGCTGAAATCATGATCATCTGTGTGCCATCGTAAAGATGCATTTTGCTGAGGATTCAGCTGAACGACTGGATTACGCTTCGATGTCCGTGCGCGTTTGTGCTGGCCTAGCGACTGACGTCGCTGTAATGGGACATCTTCATGTATGCCAGCGAAACACCGCCAATTTCGATGCTTCCAGTATGCGCAGTTGGCGCCAGCGCCAGCAAAATGCCTGATGTGCGGGATTGGCGATCTGGGCAGGACAGCACCTCGACCCTCGGAGACAGCAACAACAACCACCTTTGAGCTGCAACAATCGAACCCACTGAGGTTCGCGCTACGTATCTCAACAATTACTCGCGGTAGGTACTTCTTATCTATGTCTGAGAGCTTATCCTGGTTTCAGCTACTGATCTGTTGAGCCTACTAGTTTCGTCCATCCCCCCGGCCCACCTGCTCGCCTTTTCCCGCTGTCGGACAGTCATACGAGTAGCTACGAGAGCTGAGCTCGGCGGTTTTTCGACAATGCGCCTCCTGGAATGCAACAATACCGGCGATTTCAGTTTAACTCGTAACATTCCCAACGACCAGGTCCCACGGTATACGATACTTTCGCACACATAGGGCGACGAAAGAGGTTCTCTTCAGGGATATAACGGACGGGGTATATATAAAAGTAAAGCAGGCTGCGCTAAAATTAGGTTTTGCGGAGATCAAGCCGAACGCAATAGGCTAAAATTCTTCTAGGTCGACACATACTATATCGATAAATCCGACAGCATCGAAGTTCAGCATACCCTTAACTCCATATTTCAGTGGTACCGCAATATAATTAAATACTATATTTATCTTACAAACGTCTCAACCTGCTAGTAGGACGCCGACAGTAATCCTGGCTAGGAATTGACCTTTCGAAACTCTAGGTGGTTCACTCGTGGATGGACCCTCTAAGAACTCATTGCTTTAGTAATTATAGAATTCTTCTCTAAAGAGGGCGAGTGTCTAAGAAATAAGAATTCTTTAGAATAATAAATCTACGATATAACCAAGATTCCCCTAGGAGCTCTCTAAAGCAATATATTATCCGACTTCAGTATCGAAGAGCGTCTATCATAGGTCGGAAAGCGTAATATAATATAAAAAAAAGATAAAGCGTGCTCGCTATTCGGCATCTTTAATGTGATAATGCCGCTTCTGTATAGCGAAGGAGAAGACAAAGCATTTAAACGGGTACGAAAAAAATTAGCAAGTATAATTGCGATCTGTCCAGTCTACGTTCTACCGACCCGCGCCTTGACAAGAAGCGCATCGAGGAGGCAAAGGGTGGGTTGCTTGCTGGCGCTTACCGCTGGGTTTTCGACACCCCCGACTTCTACCGTTAGCATGACCAGTCAGAGAGCCGCCTTCTATGGATTAAAGGAGATCCTGGCAAGGGCAAGACCATGTTGCTCTGCGGCATCATTAAAGAGCTTGAGAGAGCCATTGTTGAAGACGGGCATTGTCGTAATTTAGCCTATTTCTTCTGCCAGGCTACCGACTCGCGCATCAATAACGCTATTGCCGTGTTACGTGGCTTGATCTACCTTCTTGGTCGCCAGCAACCACATCTCTTCTCCTACATACGCAAATTTACGGACGCGGGTACATCGCTCTCTGACGCAAATACGGGGTTCGCCCTCTCGGATATTTTGGAGGGGATGCTAGGAGATGCGAACTTGAAGCTAACCTACCTGGTCATCGACGCTCTGGACGAATGCATGGGTCGAGTCGTTGTTGGTTAGATCAAGCATGTATGCGGCCCAGCTGTGGCCACCATCGGCGAAAGATATCCTCGAGTTGTTCGTCCACTGACTTGCGCTCCCATTGACCCAGACCACAGCCTAGCCGCCGCCCAGAGTTGCAACGAACAAATGAACACAGAATGAAAAGGATAGTTCGGCTCTCACCGATATATTTCTGATCATGTTACATGTTCCTATGCCAAAGCCCTTGGACAATGTCCCCCACACTCTGCAGCCTCAACCTATTGAGGTTAGACATATTGAAAAGTAATAAGTTTTTGATAGAATACCCTGTGATTCTTCAAGACAGAAAACATGAATGTAAATAACTGATCCAAGACTCGTTATGAAATAACCAGCGGCAAATGAGTACTCTCACCGAAGGATGCTAGAAATGCACTCCTCGGAGACATACTGCGCTCTCACTATCCCAACTCCCACCCTTTTATATCCCCTGTCACCGTCTTCCTTCTGTACAATGATCATGTAATAACCTTTCCTAGCGTCTTCCACCTTATGGTCTTTCATCTCCGCGTCTAGGGCACCAACAATAACACAATTACAATCCTCAAACCGGATCTGATCCGCTATGTCAAACCATAAAGACCCTACTTCTTCCTCTCCATCCAAAATAACATACTTTTCTTCGTTTTGTCCCATTCGGCAACTTCCACCAAAGTTCCTCACTTTGACATTTAGTACCGATCTATCATCGGCAAAATCAAGGTCTTCGAAGCGTGGGACCCGAAAACTTGGGTTTGGATCCAAGATAAACTCAATGCCCCCGGAATATGCCATCCAAGACCATGATGGCACTTGATCATCATCATACTTGATCAGGGGTTTCTGCTCCTCGGTCCGCTTCCACAAAAGAAGAGAACCTAAACAAAAGCGGAAGATCCCGTACTTCGCTTTACTTTGCACCACCTTTTCCATCCGTTCAACAAGGCTGTGAATCGCAATGACCCTGTCTGTTTCATCGGTAAGACCGGATGTCGAATATTTCTGGAATAAAAACTGTATGAATTCGATGGTACGATAATACCCACTCCGCCAGAGTCTATCTAGGAAGTGTGGATCGAGGATGAAGTATTCCTTCCCAAACGGCCTAGAGCAAGATAAGACTTTGTACCATACGTAGTTTTTAATGATCAGACTTACGGTATAAGTTTTGTGAGCCGTTCACAAATCACCCCGTCCCCACATTCGCAATACACATGTGACGTAGTAAAATGAATGGTTCGCCGGGACAGCACTCGTTCTTGTAAGACCCAAGCTCGTTGCATGAGAGGCCCTGCGTCGACGTCTTCGTCGAAATGACATTGGCAAGCTGAGGAGGCCAAGGTATTTTGTGCTCCATCATCTGAGAAGCGTGACTGGGATTTGAGAAAGCCATCTTTCCAGTTATGTGCTGAGGTTACGGCAATAGTACAGTAAGCATTAGCGAAAATATTTTGCATAGTGTTAGCTTGGCTTTTCCAGTCGCCACCATCTCCTTGAATGATACAGAGAGCATCAATCCAGAGATATTGTTTGCCAAGTGCTCGAGTAATTTGAACAGTATCCTGAAAGGTCTTCGGCAACTGCTCAAAAAAAAAGTCTTTCAAACGTCTGTTTTCCTTGGTATTGCAGAATTGGCGTTTTTCATCTTCGGTAGGATTGCCCCAACGGTGTGACAATACAAGGTAGTCTTCATCCAGAGATTGGTTCTCTACCAGAGATAATTTTTTGGGGTCAGAGTCACCAACAAAGATAATTCTCTTTGGCCAGAAGCTGCCCTTTCCTCGTTTTTGGGGACAGTCGTGATTGTTGTCACAGTGCTGAAGCCACTCGCGCAACAGGAGAAGGTTTGGAATGACTGGCATGAAATCTGATGAATGACTAGTGGGGAAAGAATTTGATGACTGTTTGCTCTGAAATGTCGAAAGAAATGGGTCTTTAGTTGTACGTCGCCATGATCGCTAAAGAAAACGCCGATTAGTGGGAAATGTAAATTAGTCGGACGGATCCACTTACTTCCTACACCACCACACACACCGAGGTCAGTAATGATTCCCATCTCCGCTCTCTTGAGGGCATCCACTTACATACTACACCACCACACACACCGAGGTCAGTAATGATTCCCATCTCCGCTCTCTTGAGGGCATCGACTTACTTCCTACACCACCACACACAACGAGGTCAGTAATCACCATCAGGCTTCATCTACTAAACACACTTTTTATAACGTGGCTGTTATTTGAAATCGGACCATAGCTTTAAATTAGACACATACCGACTATACAAAGTTAGGTTTTATACTTCCAAGTGACAATTATCCCTTACCTCAAAGTCCCGATGAATCCGAACTCGTGCTGGAATTTTGGCAACAGACATTTCGGCCATGTTGCTCTGATAATGTCGTTTCTCCTTACACTCGGTTTGTGACAATGGCTAGTGATCAGGACTTGGAACAGTAGTTCAATTCAGCTGATAATCTTTAATGGCCTCGAAGTCCTTAGAGAAGAAAGTCTAGAGATACAAACAGGTTCTGAGGACGCGTATTTATCCGTCCTTTTGAAGTCCGTGCCCTAATGGCCTCAGGCAGCTGCCAAGTCCTTCCACATACCCTCTAGCCAATACCATTCCTTTGGTAGCCGCGAGGCACTTGATTTTCTGCCTTACTTCCAACCATTGGTTCTCGATTATGCAGGTAGATAGCGGTTGGGCCGTGATGCAGCTGGTTGGTTGTTTGCCGTGTGACACGGTTGCCGTTGCAATGATTGAAGACGTTTTCGATCCATGTTGCGTTGGTTTCTGCTTGGGGTCTGCCGGAAAATGTGAGCTACGACAATGCTTGCGATACGGGGCGGAGTCTCAACATAGCCATGGACTGCGTGCTAGACGAAGCTGGCGACGCTGCATGACGACGCCGGGTGATCATTTCAAACCACCCGCTGTACCTGTTAGCCGTGTTTTTGGTAGAGGTTGCTTGAATAACGATGCTTGCTGGGAAGAGGGGATGCTATTGCAACGGCAGCGACGACGAAATTTAACAGTGGCATCCTGCGCGGTTATCGCGCAGCGGTGGCTTGAAAACTGTGGTCTTGCTTTGTTTGGCTGTCGATTGTCCACGACACAGGCAACACGACACAGCTGAGACACAGAGAGGGGATCACTTGTGAGCGGGAGTGAGCTAGGTACGAAGGTACTTAGGGATTCACGGTCTATATATACGGAGGAACTAGACAGCTCGTAGATAGTTCCGCAGTATGCAATCACAGCTTGTATTGCGGTATCTTGTGTTTACATTGAGACATCTTGTTGTGCATTATTTAGCTGCAACGATCCAATATCTAGAAGTTCGCCCTCAACCGGTATCCCTTTCAGAGGTTCTGGACAGGGGATCGTCACAAGATGCCTCAATTCTTGAAGGACTGTATAGAATTAGAAGACGCATTGACTGGGCATTACAATGCAATACAGTTGAAGGGAATTTCACAAGCGCGAGTTCCCACACGTGCAAGGTCAAGAACCTGAAGAGCAATCTATATTCCCATCAACGCGTCGACGCGTTCCATGTCGTTTTTGATTTTCATCTCATTTCTTTTGTTTACATCCATATCCATGACGTGGTGCACCTGACGGCCAGTGCCAATTATTACCTTTCTTTTCCCCACCCGTTTTAGCTCAGGGGAAGATCCCAGATCGAAGCAACCATGACGTCGCGGGCAAAAGAACTGCCATATCAGAGAAAGTAAAAACAAAGTCAAAGTACAAAGCAATTAAACCCCAACTCCCACTCAAATACCCCAGATATCCCAAACCCATTGCCAACATACATTTCAAATCCAACCATGATCGTAATCCATGACAGGAAAATCCTTCACTCCCTCCTCCAGCCCTTCCCGCGATTTGTCTTTGCCATGCGTCACTCAAAGACATTGTGAATACCACACGCTTAACACGACACATTGATATGGAGATTCACAAACCGTCGATCCCAGGTGGTATATCCCACCACATGTTCCCCAGTGAGGCACCGGTGTGCCAGTCGGGGTTGACGAGCCCGATGTAGACTTGACAGACGCCGTCGTAGGCGATGGGACCTCTTCCGTGGAAAATTCAGTTGCTGTCGCGCTGAAAACAACAGTAGTTGTAATGGTAACGAATGCCGTTTGGCTGGATAGTAGGCTAGACAGGAGGCTAGCTAGTTGGCTGGATGATAGACTGGTTGAAATCGTTGTTTGGCTGGCTGTTTGCGTGGGCGGTAGACCGGATCCTTGACCAGACGACTGGCCATCACTCCCCAGCGCAGCCTGGATACTGTCCAAGAACCCAGTATTCCCATAAACCTGCGACATATCCCTTTGTAATCTGTTAGCTCTCATTCCCACACTTCCCCCTCATTAGAACCTACCACATCATCACCCCCCCAAAACTCTCAAACCCCTTCACGTACTCCACCACCCCCTTCAACACCTCCCCATTCACATACCCCCTCCCCGCCGCCTGACTCCCCGGCACCCCCAACAAAACCTTCACCCCCTTGTTCTTACTCTCCTCCCTAGCCCACCGATCCCACCTCTCAAAGTTGAACTGGCTCTCACCCTTCCCATCACCACCCCCAGAAGCCTTCCAACTATCAACCCCACACCAATTATTATAAAACTGCACCATCACAAAATCAAACCCCCACCCCATCCATCAACCCCCCCATCGCCGCATCAGGAAACGGGCACTGCGGCGCACCACTCATGTAAAACTTTTTCTTCCCACCATCCGCATCCATCAACCTCCTCAACTCCCCCACAAAATCAACCATATTCACCGCCACAGCCTCCAAGTCAATATCAAACCCATCCACCACCGCATCCCCAAACGGTCTCTCCACCTTTGACCCCTCCTTCTTCGGTCCAAACATCTCCCATACCGCCCCCGCCATCTGGACCGCCTCGGCAGGGGAGGAAAAACCCCCTTCGGTGTAAGTTGCTCCCCCGATAGACAAGAGTATAGATTTGTTGTGGGCCGTCTGGCAGGTTTGGATGTCTTCTTCGAGCTGAGGGCAGGAGAGGAGCTGGCTACCGGAGAAGAGGGTGCAATTGTCGCCCGCGTTGGCAAAGTTGATTGTCGTGGAGGGGGTCTTGATCGTGTAGAGGAAGGCGAGGGGGATGATGTTGATGGGGGTGTTGGCGCAGTAGTAGGAGAGGCGTTGCTGGCCGCCCGAGGTGAGTGAGATGGAGTTTTGGCCTGGGATTCAGATGAGTAGGAGAGAAAAGTTCGGGATGGAGGGGAGTTGGGAGAGAAACATACCCCAGTAGACGGCGATGTTGTTTGAGGCGGTGGGGTCGAAGCCCGCGAGGACTTTGTTGGAGAGAGAAAGGATGATGCCGCAGAGGGCGAGGAGATTGTGAGATCGAAGCATTTTTGGTGAACAATAAGTCGAAGGTTGTGGGAATTGAAAGGTTTGAAGGTCGTGGTTGGCGCTTGTCGAGGTGAATCGTGAATTGTAAATCGCTTGCTGACGTGCCCTTTATCTTCGAAAAACTCGATAACTGCCAAAGTACCTCGAGAATTGAACTGGTTCAGGCTGCCTGCTCACTGAATCGCTCCTTCCATGTGTGGTGTTCTTACCTCACGCGATAGTCTGACATCGATACTCACCTCATCCCTGCACCTCATCCCATGTCCTTCCTCTCGGAGGCAGTAACTTGAAAACTAAAAGGGAATAAAGTCAGGGAATTTCACCCGATCTTTCATCTCAAAGTATGGTAACTCCAACAACATGGCCACTGGGTCAAATCTGCTACGTTACACACTGGCAATAACACAGTCCAAACGATTGAGCTGTTCACATCTCACAGATTACACATCTCATGTAGGATCGTCTTTTAACCTCAGCCGTGATCAATATCTGTGGCATATGAAGGGATTTGGTGTATCCGTGATCGGAGGATACTGGATCGAAGCCGCCTCCTGATGGCCGGTGGAACATGATAACAACGCAACATTTCATGTTCACAAGAGAGCCGCTGAAATGTTGAAATGAGCGGGGTATGAAAGGAATCGGGAGATAGTGATCGTTGCATTTCGGGATCCGAGGCTACCTTGGGTATCTTGCGGTCAGATGCCTGTTCACATGCTCTGTGTTTGGTAGTTTGAGAAGAGCCGCTTGTCTCCTGCAACGTAGGATTTCGGACCTGTGAAAGCCTTCAAAATCAGTGTTCCCGAGTCAACCGTGATCGCTGGAAGTACCTTCGTAGGGCAAGCATGTACTCTGGTTTGGATATTGGTACCCAATTCTAAAGAGGCTCCATCTGCCCATAGCCCTGGACGATCTCTGAGAAGAGCGATCGGAACCGATGATCAACATTACTGGTAAATCTCAACATTAAACAACAAAAAGCAAAATGAAATTCGGCAGGTTGGAGTACTCCAGACCTCCCACATGACAGCCCCGGTACGTCCACACCAACATTGATACAAGTTCAAAAAAGACCACCCGTTGCTTGCCATAAGTACCCGAATTCCTGGTTCCACCGAAAAGAGTGGACTTCGATCTGTACCCATACGCAACATATTGATGAATAGCCTTGCACAAAGCTTGTTCCGTGGAGTTATTGATTTTCCCCCCTGTCTCTTGAAACTAGTCTTGATACATCGCAGGATAACAACCTTGGAGCCCACCTCCCGAGCAAGCTTCAAGCAGCAGCCAAGGCAAGCTTCCTTTCGCAGAATAACCAACGACTGGAATTCGAAGCTCAAACCCGTCGGTACAAGCGGGTTAGACAGGGCAAAGAATCTCATCTCGTCATTCCCGTCCCCAGCAACGACATCGACGACGTTGAGTCCACGTGCACGTCTGCGCTCACGACGACGGCCTCGCTGACGGCCACCTTCAAGTTCGGTTCCCTGCCCATGATCACTCGTCGTTTCAGCAATTTCGTTGCCTATGAGCGGACTTATGAAGCTGGCGGCCGGGTCCGGTTCAGTCAGTTTGGTAGTTGGGATGCTTCAAGTTGGATCTTGGGTAGTCAAGAGGGCTATTCCAGAATTCAAGCTTCTGTAAAACTTGCCGAAGAGCATATGGTATGGCCTCCTCCATTGCTTGCTTGGCGTGACCATGATTCAGCCCAAGTTTGTTGAGTCGTAGGTCCCCATAGGTACTCAACCTGACCATTCCAAATATCGGAGGCGAGGAACCAGGCCCCGCCACAAGTTCTGACAAAGCCCTTATTGAAGAATGGGTAATCACCTTAAATGTCGAAATATCCCTAGCGTGACCCTTCTGGATTATGTTGATGACGACTATTGAGCCGGGTTGATCTAGCCCGACCGTACCATCGGCATGAGCAATGCTGGGAGGGATGCCCAAGCACCACTTGGTGAAGGCGGCTGTCCATGCAGCGAATGATATAGAAGTTTCTATGACGATGCGAGTGACCTCAGCCGGCAGGAGCGTTTTATCAGCAGCCGACTCCTCTAACATCGCGTGCACAGCAAGGCCACTGTTGAAAGTATCCATCACCGAAACAAGACTGCAGATTAGACCCAAGAAATGCAATCCAGCGAGACTGCGGCCAAAACGGGCCACACTGTCGTTTGCCGCAAATCCAACCGTGACCTGGAGGAAGCTCAACACAGCTGGCGGAGGGGTGGGCACCACGCTGTGTTCCATCTTTCGACGCGTCTCGATGCTCATTGCGATTGTGTTTTCGAAGCGCTCACAGGCCAAAATGGCAAGGGGTTGAATGTTATCCGATGTTTCTGCCTGCAGGACACCTCTCGCGATAGTGATTCCAGACTGAGCAGTGGTGTCCAGGCTCCGTTGTGGTGAGATGGACATGGTCGAGTAATCTGTACGAGTCAGTCGAGAGGAACATGACGATCACTTGTGAGAGTCAAGGACGTACCGAAAGTTGTTGTTTTTTGACTCGATTCAAACGCCTCCTAAGACTGTGGATGTGTGTTTGGGAACAGAGATTGTATGTGACATGGAGTTGCTCGTGATTGCGTCCCGGTAGCGAAAGATCATAATTGTATCCAGGCAAAAGTTAGAGGCGTGGTTATCAACCAACATTTCAAGCGATTTGTGTTGAGTTGAGAAAACGATTCAAGTGTCCATTTTAGACGGGAGCACACATGTGTTTTCCTGCTGGAAGGAGCGCACTTGGTGGTGCCTTCCACAATGGAACAAGCTTTGCAGTTTGAACTCGATGCCTTCTGCCCACTCCACTTCAACTATCTCCCCCACCCCCATCACCCTCCTTATTATCATACGGTTTCTGCGCAAACCAAAAATAAAAGTAATAATACCTATGCACCTTCCCATCCATAACCGCCTCCCTCACCTTCGCACTAAAGACCTCTCTCTCCACTGCATCCATCCCCAAGTTTGCAAAGGCTTTCCCCAGCGCTGATAAGCTCTGCAACGCGGCCTCTTTCACATACAGCCCAATCAACCTCATCGTTTTATCTTTAGGCCACGTTCCCACTGGTGTCTTCTTCTTGACACAGGTAATATTGACGAAACCAGCTCGTTCAAGAAAGTTGCCCACCACAGCCGGCATGTTCAAATTCATTCCAAACTTGGCCATAGCTTCCACACATAAAGCCCAGAATTTCTTCATCACGTCCGTCTCGGGGTCCATGGTTCCGTCGTCACAACGAGGTTCCCCATGTGATTCTTGAAATTCGATCCAGCCTCCTGGTTTGAGGTGTCTGTTTGCTTTGTCAGCCTCATATTTCATCGGCAAAAAGGGGAACACATACTGATAGATCTGGTCCACCGCCTTCTGCAAATCCCTCAGCACAAGCGCCATGCCCCTTAAATGCACAAAGTCCCAGTCTGACCCGTTCGCCCACTCGTCTTCGACATCGTCAATCATGAACCTGACATTTGGCGGCACCCACTGTGGTTGGATCGGTGAGAGATCGAGCCCCAAGATTTCAGCCCCAGGGAACAGGTCCCCCATCTCGATAGCCCAGATTCCTGTGCCGGTCCCAATATCAATGATCTTTTGTGGGTTGGGTCCAATGGGTGAAAGGTAGGGTTTCCCGTCCTTTCGACACAAAACAATGTTAGTGAATAATTACCTAAGGGGCAACAAAGGGGCAACCCACCGTCAACTCCATCATCATCGCATGCTTCATATCCTCCCTATTCTGCTCCTGATCATCATTTGGAATTGGGTACCTCCCATATCGATAAGAATGATATCTCCTCCCATTCTCATACGTATGTGCATAAATGCTCGACGTCACCGACGTCGAAGCCTTGGACGACCCGTCCCATCCCTCAGCCAAGAACTCGTCTTCTTCCTCAGGGCCCTCCTCAGCCTCGATTGAATCAGGGAATTGCTCTGTCTGCCGTCTCCCATCTCCTGTTTCCTGCGAAAATGCTTCATCTTCCGGTATCGGGCCCGTTGTTGACGGTTGCGGTGGTTTTGGCGACGATCTTTTCGTCTGTGGTGGTAGTGGTGGTTCTAAATGTGAGGGGTCATCGGATGGCCCCCTTTGGGGTTCTGAAAGTCCTGACATCGGAGAGCTGTGCCGACCGTTGACGTCGACCGGGATTTAATGCACGTCACCGCGGGATGATTGTTGAGGATTCAGGAAGGAAATTTCCGCGTAGCTTTTGGTCCGTCGTCGCCGGTCTCAGGATCGATATCGGGATCACAGAATCGGAGCCTTTTCTCGTTCTTCGGCAGCTTCAAGAAATGACGGAGTGAAAGATGAACAAAATACCGTCAGACCCGACAGGACACACAGCTGGAATGCGGTGGTGGTGGTGGTTGGGACGGGCCGTCGGTTTGGCTATATAAAACATTAATATCCGCGTGCCACCTGGGCGGGCGCCCATCACCATCGCTTATGGAGCCCAGCCGACTTTTGCTGTAGACAGGATGCACGGCAGCACCATGGCTTTGATCTGTCGGGCCGTGGTCTCCGTCGGAGGGTTTTTAGCTGTCAATCTGTCGTAGAGGAGCCGTGATCCCAGCGCTGGGGTTCAACACCAGGTTGAAAAATCAGAGCAGCTTGGTTGAAAGAATCGGCGAGATTCGGCCCGCTTACATTTCGGGGAAGCGCTCTCTCGTTCGCGTCTGCAAAAGTGATAAGACCATGGAAGCTCCGCATAAAAGTGCCTTCCCATTCAAGGACAGGTTTCTTTGCCTTCCGTCACATCTTGCATCTGCACGAGAGTGGGAATACTGGCAATGCAGCCGCCCGTCATGGCCAATCAGAGTCAAGGTATCTGGACTTTTATCCCCTGTCCTCCCAACCTTGAAGCCGTGGTGTTTGGTTCTCTGCTTCGTTTAATTCTAGTAATGCAACGACCGGCGGCACGTACACAACGTCAAAATGCTGCTACCCGATCAGATCAGCCTGCCAGACCCGCCATAGCTTTTTCTCGGAGGTCGATCAAACGGCTTTAAAGCGTAGAGGTGGTGAGGTGTTTAACTCAAAGTCAGATAATCAAGATATGGTTATGTTGATCAATGTGGCTGACCAATGCACGTCTAGTGCTACACTACAATTCTCTACGTCTAGTAGTGATCAGCCTATGTTTGTCTAGACTTGCGATCTGTTGTTTCGTGAGACAGGTCCTGCATATGGCTTCCTGTCTGACAACCTTTGAGAAATTGAGATGACAGCAGCGTGCGTCGTGAGACTTTTCTGATTCTCTTGTTCAAAGACCGAGATGTCGATCCATGCCAGCTGGCCTTTATCTAACCCTGGAAGCTATTCGGGACCCAGCAGCCTTGACAAATCTTTTTAGTCTAGCATAGCAGATGGGAGTTGGACGCGGCTAGTGAAATAGCAATTCTGAGACTCTGTCGTGAAGTTGCCAGCTGAAACTAGCGACCGACGCTGCCGAAGAGGCTTGGAAGAGGTCACGTTGTGGACTATAATCAGGGGATCCAGGAGATTGTCTTGGTAACCCTCTGGCCGGCAAATCTTGTCGGTTCGCGTCCCGTCGCGGAACAACCTCCAAACCGAAAGATTGCCGCGCACGTGCCTCGTGTGCCTGGATCTGAGAGATTCTAGTGTTGCTAGCGCAGCGGTCCAGCAATGCTTATTTTGACATTCGAAGGGGTGGTGCACTGGTGTTGAAGATGCGGCGTTTTGTGTCGGATCACCAACAGGGAAAAACCGAGGCCTGTAACGCGGTCGTCCGGAAAAACGACCCATTCCGAGCAGCAGTGGGCAATCCAATCCGGGGCGAGGTCGGGTCTGGGGGAGCTCTGGGGAAGCTGTCCGGGGAAGCGGAGCTGGCCGCAACACCAAGCCCACCAGAGCCGTTTTGTCCTCGGTTACCCCACAGTTCGTGGCACGACATGCGGAGCGCTTCACAGGCCAAACACACCACCATTGGCCGCTAATCACACGAGAAACCACCACATGCCGAACCACTTGCTCCTCCCGCTCTGCCCATCATGTTCTCTCCTGGCCAGTCTGCCAGTTGTGCCCAACGCACCTGCTCTGCCTTTGCCATACATCAATTCGCATGTTTTCTTCTCTTTGTCCCACCCTCCAGAAACTTCCCACCTTTTCTGGGCTGGCCATCTACAGGCATCTATCCTTGAATCTACATACGCCGGAGAGAGAGAGAGGGGTATCTTATCCTCCCCACGCTCTAATTTGCTTGTCGATCTCTTGTCAACTCATCCTTGCATCTACTCCATACAACTACGTCTTCTTCCCCACGGGGCAACCTCCTCCCGCGGCAACCGAAGTGGGAATATAAACACTCCCCTTCGTCCCTGATTCCTGTCCTCTCGACCTGACCTCGACATCATCGCTTCGTTATACACACTTCAACAGTTCTCGCCCGCACTTCAAGATACCCTTTTTGTTGGTTTTGTGCTGTTTCGGTTCCTTGTAACAAACCACCACATTTCCACCCCCCACCCTTTTTACGTACTACTACAACTACCAAGGACGACAAACCACCACTCTGTCGAACCACCTCCGACTACCGAGAGAGAACACCTTTACTCTACCAAAAATGGCCTCTACTCAGCAGCAATCCCGCCTCCTTTCCACCTCTGCCCGCGTGCACCCCCCTTACCTTCCTCACCTCTACACCGCGGCTACCAAACCATCCCCCGTAGCAAGGGGCATCAAGTGGTATGCTCCCCCTCATTTCCCCTTTCTCCTCTCTGCCCAACAGCTTCTAACATGTTCTTTGTGTTTAGGGTCCCACCTCTCGCAGGCGCCCTCGCAGCAGGCTACGTAGCCGTCTCAACCTACCGCACCTCCGCCGCTGCCGCCCAGCAACGACAGGCCGAGGCTGAGCAGGCTGATCTGGAGAGAAGACGACAGAACGCCGCTTTGGCGGACGCCTACGGGGACAGGAGCAGCTTGGAGGAGCTGGAGAGGGCGATGAGGGTGTATGAGGCGCAGCGGGGCAACAACTAAGCAGGGGTGATGTTGCCCAGGAAGAGGGGGACTGACTGATGAGCGGGCTCTTGGAGGGTTCTCTCGTACTGACAGGGCAATGACAGGGGGAAATGGGAAATGTGGTGGAATTTTGGCTTTTTGATATCCTGTTTTGGTGTTTTTCTGGGTTGGTTTTTTGAAAGGCATTAGCATGGGTTATGAACTGGATGGATGGGGTTGGGCAAACGGGCACAAGGCATATTTTCTGGCGGGGCGTTGTTGGATGGGCAATCTGATGCAAGATCATGGGGAAGCTACGGCTGGCTATTCCTTGCAGATATTTTGGGAGAAAAAAATGTCAAAATAATATTCTATCTGCTCTGGTCATCATGTTGTGTGAATGATGCTGGGGTAGTGATGAGCGGGGGGTTGTTGCACACCCAGGCTCAAACACTGAGAAGCACGACCACCTCATCACCGGCCAAGACCTCCCTTCCACACATCCCGACGGTGGCAGAAGTCAAGCTTTGTCCCCCCCTGCAAGATCCATCACACTCAATCACATTTTACTCACCTTAAATCCGAGCAGAGTTCATCAAAAATACCTCGAATCTCTCCTGTTGTGCACGTATGATTGGGGCTATGGGGGAGATTTTGTACGGCATGATGTGGTGGTGTTGTCATACCTTTGCAGTGCAGATCTGCTGCGGGGGATGAGATGGTTGATGCCTGATGATTATTAAAGTTGGCGGCGTGCATATGCGGTGTTTGTGGTTGGATGAGTGAGTGATGGGCGGGGATCTGGGTTGATGGGTTGATCTTTGATGTGGGAGCATGGCACAGAGGGGGGGGAGGGGGTTTGTGAGACTGTGATTTGACGATGGGGGTGATAGGGCGTTGCGGAGGGCGTCGTACTTGCGAGGATGCGGGTGTTGCGAGTTGGGGAAGAGAAGGGTGATGAGTTGAGTTGCCGGTGAAATTTCAACGTGGGGGTTTGGAGGATGTTATTGGGTGGTTTTGATTGGGCTGTACATAAGAGTTGGGGATTTGAATTGCTTAATCGTAAGTAGGGTATGTGAGCTACTGCTTGTACATTTGTGGTGTGTATCTGAGATATGCATGAGAGAAGCTGGGCGTCAGTCATGTTGAGGAAGTGATGAGATGGCTCATGAGGCGAGACTTGCTCAGTTTCATTACGTCGGTGTAAGTGATCAAAAACCGAGGAGTGAGATACGAGGCTGGTAAGAAATGACAGAATAATTCTGTCCTGATCAGGCGGTTCATCAAAAATGAGATAGAGTTGTCGAAAACATTCCTGAGCACACTTCACTTCCCGGGTCAGGCTTGTGCCGAGCGGAATAAGTTGCCGCACGGAGTATGGGAACTATCCGATAGGAACCCTGGGTTGTTCTTGCTTTTTGGGATCTTTTTACCTTTCGACAATTGGAAAAACATGGGGCTCTGTCCTGGGTGTACCTTCCCTCTTGGGAACCCACAGATGTCCGCCAGTCACATACTTGAATTTCTACCCACTCAACACACCTACTCAACACAAAAGAGACTTACAGCACCAAAATTCTCCATGATAACAAGTCCTCAACCTCACCCGCCCTTTTCTTATCAACGCCCAGTCCGCTGCCGTTTCTGGGCAATTCCTCCCCAAATGGATGTAGCCCTGCTCAGCACGGCTCCCTACGGCCCATGACGTTGGGAAACTGTGAGACTGCTCGTTGGCACCCGATGGAACGGGGATAAGATTGGCAGAATGCTCCAGACAGGCAAGGCGGAAGCCGTGCAAAGTTGGCAAAGGGAGGCATCTGTCTACAAGATGAGACACCCAGACCTAGACCAGCTGTCTACAAGAGGAGAAGTGAGCACACCAGCGCAAGGGGTAAGACGATGTTTTCATACTCTATCCCATCATTGGCCTCAACTATGAACTCATCACACCCTTTAGTATCACGACTCAATCTTGGCTATCTCGATCATCACGACCTGCATCGGCAGTGCGACGGCAGCAAGTCATGTCAGCGATAGTCTCGCCCCAAACTCAACCCCCTCCCAGCCTCGTGTTGGAAGCCGATGATTATTACACTTGTTTTTTCATCTGAGAAAGACGTCACACTAAGGCTCGCCGGAATGCTCGCCGCGGGATACGCAACCCGATCTGGGGCTTGCAACACCTGCTTCGGAGTCCCATCCGTGAACTCGGTTAACGACGAGGAATGAGATGTCTCGCAACGCGCGAATCTCCCCCTTCCTCCCACTATTCCTCTCTCGTTCACGCGCAATCAGCATGAAGGATAAGATGTGTTTTGCATCAGCACAAGTTGTTCCGTTTTGTTCTGCTTTCTTCTGACTTACACACTCTAGGGGGAGCAATACGACAGCTCTCTTGTACATTTTGACCCCTAGACATATACCAGCACCAGTCCCATAGAAAGGGGCTCGAGATACCCAGCAAGACAACACGCAGAATGATAGTCAATCTCTACTGGATCACGCTTTTTGTTCTTCTTCCCGTCACAGTGTTGCTTATGAACAGGAGCCTACTGGCCAAAGCAGCACGAAGTTTCCTCGCCAAAGCAAAAAGACACACATCAGACACTCCACCACTATCACCAACAGATTCCGTCACAGGAGAAGATGACCATGAGCGAATCAAAGACAAGGAAGCGCGGGCGTTCCAGATCAAGTTTCTCAAGGTGTACCTTTTTGCCATGGCGGCCGACTGGTTGCAGGGGCCATACACTTACCCCCTCTTCAAGACGGAGTTTGAGTTTCCAGAAAAGACGGTCGCGTCACTGTACATGACGACGTTTATTGCTGCGGCAATCTCTTCACTCCTTGTCGGGTTTCTGGCGGACAAGTTTGGGAGAAGAAATGCCTGTCTAGCGTTCTGTCTCATCCACTCGCTCTCGGCGTTGAGCGTGCTTTCGAAGGATTTGAAAGTGCTGTATGCGGGACAAGCACTTGGTGGAATAGGGCTGGCGATGCTCTGGACGGTGTTTGAGAGTTGGATGGTGACTGAGTGGAACACTAGGAAGCTTGGAGATGAGAGGCTAGGGACCATGTTTGGGACCATGACGAGGGCCAACTGCAGTGCTGCTGTGTTGGGTGGGTTGATTGGCGATTTGGCTGTGGAGGTGTCGGGGACGAGAAAGGGACCTTTTGTGGTTGGTGTGGTAAGTGCATGGCCATTGTTTGTGGTGAAAAAGGCGAAATTAACGACGAACATAGGCTATTGAAGCTATTGCTGCGGCCATGCTTATTTGCTGCTGGGTAAGACACTCGCCATGACATTTTCTGGGCTACATACTGACTGATCTCGCAGAACGAGAACTACGGACAGCCAAAAGACAGCAAGGAGAAGCGCATGACTCCAAAGGATACCCTCAGACAGCTTGGAGGTAAGTGCCTGAAAGACCGCCAAGACCTTGCGGTTGCTAACGGATAAAGACATCAAAATCTGGGCACTCAGCTTCATCAGCTGCTGCTGGGAAGGCACCAATTTCTTGGTCCTCTTCTTCTGGCCTGGTATTCTCCAAGACGCACACAGACGCATCCACGGACCTGACGCTGAGGATGTGCCCTACGGCCCCATCTTCGCTGCCTTCATGTTGGCCATGATACTCGGCGCTCTGCTGTTCAGTGCCATCATGAAGAGAAAGAAGAGCCGCCTCGCCTTGCCCGTCGATCCTTCCCAATCTCCCAGCAAGACTTCCTGGTTGAAGAAAGCCTTCACCAATCCCCACAACCTGATGGGCATCGTCATCTTCATCGGCGGCGGCTGTCTACTGCAATCAGCATATGTCCCAATCGAGGTCCTCGCCTTCTTTGGCTACTTGTTGTTCGAGTTTTGCAACGGCATTTACGTGCCCTGCGTGGCGTACCATAGGGGTATCGTCGTCAACGAGGGCAACAGAGCTGGTTTGTACGGTCTGATGAAGCTACCTCACTTCCTGTTTGTGATCATTGCACTTGCGACTGCTGTTGAAGGTTAGTACTCTCTTCTCTCGCCTGATGGCCAAGTGTGCAGAGACTGATGATTCCCAGACCCTCGTCACCGGCAAACCGTCTTCCTCGCTTGCTTCTCCACCCTCGTTGCTGCCTCTCTGGCGAGCATCATTGGACTGAGGGGCTCGGCGCCGGAAGAGAAGAAGCCCGAGAATGACTTGGAGCAACTGATGGAGATGAGCGATGGTGACAGCTTTCGGGAGAAGATGCTCACGCCACACACCCTGGCTTCGGCTTCGACACCAACGCTGTCCACCACGAGGCCAACCACGGCTCATGAGATTATCATGGATAAGCAATCCTGAGCGACTCACAGGCGTGCCCTACCAAGGCAAACCACCAGCGACGATACCCAGAAAGATTCAACATGAACGACAACTAGCCCTTAGTGGTCAACAGCCAACTAACGAACGATGAAGTATGGTATGTGCGAGTAAGATGAACAGACGGGATAAGGGAAGGTACAAGTAACAAACATGGACAGGACGGGATTAACATGAGGACAACAACAAAAACAAGATAACCAACAACACATCTGTACTTTTCTGTAAATTAGTTATACCCGACATCTTAGTCCCTAAAACAACAAGGAAACAGACTTGATCATCCAGCCCCAATAGAGCTTGATCTCAAAAACAGCAATCTCTCTCATTGAACCCGATATCTACACCCTTGGTATCTCGAACTTTTTCACTTCTTAAAAGCCTTCCTCTTCCCCTGTTTATTCCCATCGGCAATCTCCCCCTCCTCATCCTCCCACTCCCCATCCTCCTCCATCTTCGAGTTGACCTGCTCCTCAGCATCCCCAGCCAACCCCTCGCTATCAAACCCCTTGTCATCCCCATCATACCCATACTCGTACAAATCACTATCGTAATCCTCCATATCCTCATCATCATCCTCTTCTTCCTCTTGCTGCCCCTTCTTCCCCTGCTGCTGCTGCTGCTGCTTATTCGCCTCCTTGGCAGCCTTCTTCCTCTCCACATTGGCCTTCTGCTCCTTCTTCCTCGCCTCCTTGTCCTTCCTCCTCTGCTCCCACTTCTTCTCCAGCTCCCTAATCTCCTCCCTTGTCTTGTGGACATACTCATGCCACATCACCTTGCCCGAGCACAGCCCTTCCTCCACCTTTGTCATGCGAAGCTTCATTCTCGGGCCGAGCTCGACTAACTTCACAGCCCGACGCTCAACATTGTCTTTACGCCCCGTGTCACCATCCTCATCATCACTCCCGTCTTCATTTTGTGCTTGTCTTGGCTTGTTGGAACTGTGAACCTTCCTCGCCGACGTCTCGAGAACCTCCACCTCGGCGTCGGTTTCGTACTCGCTTCCTGACGTGTTATCCGTCTCGTACCCCGCGCCGTTTTCACCCCCAATCATAAACTCGGAAATGTCTTTTAGCTTCCCCAGGTTGGGCAGCTGCCCCTTCTTTGACTTGGACGACTTTAGCAGTTTCTCGGCGGCGTTTAACCTCCTCAGTGGCTTCGACAGGCCGACTGGTTTGGTGGTGATGGCGTAGTGGCGAAAGTTGACGATGAACGTCCCGTCGTCTTCGGTGGATTGCTCCCTGTTAAGAAGGAGGACGCGACGGATGGATTTGAGGGGGGTTCGTTGCGGGTTGATTGGGGGGAAGAGAGACTGGAAAGCGGTCGTGGTGAGGGACTCGAGGTGGCGGGGGACTTTGGAGGTGTGGTCCGAGTTGGGGTTGGTGAAGTTGTTCATGACTAGGAGGGGAGGAGTGATGTACTCTTTGCCGCCCCCCTTGGGGTGTCGCTGGGCTCGCCGGACGTCCTTTGTCAAAGAGTACTTTTCTACGCGAAAGTGAAAGGTAGGGCCGCGGGGGGTGATGGCGAGGCGCATGTTGGTGTTGCCCGACTCGGAGCGGGAGAAGAGAAGGAGGTGGGAGACGCCGAGGGGGCCGCACATGGTCACGTAGTCGCGTAGGCGGTTGGCTTTGCGCTCTTTGAGGCGGGAGGCGGTGCCGGGTTCCATTACGCGCCGGACGTCGGCGGCAAGTTGAGAGATGCTGGTTCCTACTTCGCCGGCGCCCATGCGGATGACCATGGATTTCGGGTCTTTGGTGTTGATGTGGCCAGTGACGGCGGTGGGGGCGGCTGGGTTGTGAGCACCCAGGTGGGTTCTTCTCTTGGAGCGTTTCTTGGCCATTGTGGTGGTGGTTGATGTGTTTTCTCGGGTTTCGTAGGCAGAGAAATGTATGATGGAGGAAGCTTTCGACCTGCTGCAGCAAACCAATTGATGCGCCAGAGCTTTGGCGGCGCGCAGAGAAAATTTCGGTGGGGCCTTTGCTTATCGGGCCGCCCCACATGGCCGATAAGCCTGGAATTTTGGAAGATGGCTTTGTAGTTCGACAGCTTCTGAAAGTCTATTTCACCGGACAAACACTTTCTTGTAAGGTTTGATTGTCCGAAACACCGTCAAAATGTCGTCAGTCAAGCGCAGAAAGATCTCCGACAACCCTTCCGCGGTGAAGAAAAAGAAGACCGAAGCACCCAAGCCCAAAATCACACCTGGGCCAGAACCCAGAATCGAAGATGCAGTATCTGAGGCCTCAGATGCCGAGGAGTCGACCACCCTTGACAATGAGAACGGGGAGGCTGCCCCAAAGACCTTCAAGGATCTCGTATGTTGGAATTGATGGTCTGTATAGTGTTTGAGTCTTCTGCTGACTTGTACCCAGGGCATCGTCGACTCCCTGTGCGAAGCATGCGACCGACTCGGATACAAGCAACCAACCGCTATTCAGCAAGAGGCCATCCCACTTGCGCTTCAAGATCGCGACATCATTGGTATCGCCGAGACGGGTTCCGGAAAAACAGCCGCTTTTGCCCTTCCAATTCTTCAAGCTTTGCTCGACAAGCCCCAGCCCTTGTTCGCCCTCGTTCTTGCGCCGACAAGAGAACTTGCCGCCCAGATCGCCCAGTCCTTTGAAGCTCTCGGTTCCCTGATCAACCTCCGCTGCGCTCTTCTTCTTGGTGGTCTAGACATGGTACAGCAAGCTATCGCCCTCGGAAAGAAGCCTCACGTCGTCGTCGCAACCCCCGGTAGACTTCTCGACCATTTGGAAAAGACCAAGGGCTTCAGCTTGCGCAATCTTAGGTACTGCGTCATGGACGAAGCCGATCGCCTCCTCGACATGGACTTCGGCCCCATCCTCGAGAAGATCCTCAAGTTCCTCCCCCGCGAGCGCCGCACTTTTCTGTTCTCCGCCACCATGTCCAGCAAAGTCGAGTCCCTCCAGCGCGCCTCTCTCCGCGACCCCCTAAAGGTCAACGTCTCCACCTCCAAGTACCAAACCGTCTCGACGCTCGTCTCCAACTACCTCTTCATCCCTCACATTCACAAGGACACGTATTTCATCTACCTCTGTAATGAATTCGCCGGCAAGACAATGATCGTCTTTACCCGTACTGTTCTCGAGACGCAAAGAATTGCCATTCTGTTGCGCACTCTGGGCATGGGCGCTATCCCGCTCCACGGTGGCTTGTCTCAGTCAGCTCGTCTCGGTGCGCTGAGCAAGTTCCGCGCTGGGACGAGGAATATTCTTGTGGCTACTGATGTTGCGGCTCGTGGTTTGGATATTCCCAATGTGGACTGTGTCATCAATTATGATTTGCCGCAGGATTCGAAGACATATATTCATCGGGTTGGTCGTACGGCTCGTGCGGGCAAGTCCGGGCATGCTTTGAGTATTGTGACGCAATAGTGAGTTATCTGTCTCTACCTCTTGTTGACCTGAAAACTAACGTGAACAGTGACCTCGAAATCTGGACCCGCATCGAAGCCGCCCTCGGCACCAAGCTCACCGAGTACGCTTACGAAAAGGACGAGGTGATGGTTTTTAAGCCCCGTGTGGAAGAGGCTCAACGGCACGCGAGAAATGAGATGAAGAACTTGATTGATGACCGGGGGAAGAAGGGGTCGGTGCTGAAGGGCCACAGGGGGAAGAAGAGGGGTGCGCCCGGGTCTGGGAGGGATAATATGGATACTGAGGAGGGTTGAGAAGGCTCTGGAAGGTGATGAATCTTTTTATTTAGTCTGGCATGTGCGGAGTTTGAAAAAAGGTTGTTATTTCTTGGGAATAGGGGCGGGGGTGAGTGGAGGATAGAGAGCGCCGGAGTGGGTATATACCATCTTGGGGAGTTTTACGTGTAATGGGGGCGCGCTGGGTTGGTGAGTGAATACATTTGGATTAACTTTGTCACGTCCATCCTATTCCTGTTGAGTTCATCCTGCCCTGAAATGTGCATGCTATGTGAACTCACTGTCCATCCTCCAACACCCTCGTCCAATCCCACTTCCTCCACCTCTTTTTGAACCCCTCCACCCTCTCATCCCCCCTCGTCCACCTCCCCTGCTTCTTAATCACAGCGACATCAGCATCCAACATCCCCCCAATGACCTCCCTAGCAAACCCATCCCCCCTCGGCCAACTCCCGCTATCCTCCACCACATGCCCCAACCCCCCATCAAGCCCAAACCAAGCATGAAAATACGGCATCTCCTTTGCAATGCTCTTCCGGAACGCCATCCTCCCAAACCCGGGCTCCTTGCTCTTTTTGAGAGTATCAATCACCTTTTTGTGCTGGGACCACTCCTCCCCCGCGCTCATCATCGCTTCCCTGAAAAATGCCGGTGCCGTATCCCCTAGTTCGTAAGGGATGGGGACAGCAACCATAGCGGCGTGCTGCCTGCGCTGCGGGTTCGCGGCATTTTCGTAAAAAATGACTTCTCGTCCTTGGTCGTGATACATCCTCGTAAGCGACTTCATGAAATTCCTCATCTCCTCCCACTCATCATCGTCGCATTCAAGGAGATTTGTTCGATGCGACAAAGGGACGATGACGGCTCCGCCTTCCGCACCCGTCAGCTCCGGAGCCGGCGCCAAAGTGAGATACGTCCTCGTACCCAAAGAAACAACCGGCGCCACCGGCAAGTTTCCCGGCGGGTTCTTCTCCTCGTGATAACACAACGGACAACTGTCCAATATCCGATTCAACTTCTTGTACTCCGTCACAGCGACATTCTTCAAGCTCGAGTCAGTCTTGTGCACCCTCTTCGCCAATTTCTCCGCATTCTCATCCAGATACTCCAAATCATTGTCGAACTTCCCATCCTTGGCGATCCTCTCCGCCAGACGCATCCCTTCCCCGCCGGCTTCGCCTTTTGTACGGCGCTCTTCGCGGACCATGTCGTCCAGCGTCATCTCGTCGTTTTCCACCACTGTTCCGCGCTCAAGACCCCGTTTGTTGGTTACTGGCTTTACTTCCCCTCTTGACCCGCCGGCCAAGAGGCGCGAGTGGGAGGCGTCGAGGACTATGGCGTTGCTGGTTGCCTGGCCTGACTGGAACGCCGCCATGGCAGAGTTGAATTCTGCTTCCAGCTTGGGCACGTCGGGGGAGTTGCGGAGTTTGGCCTTCATGAGCTGGGCGCGGAGGCGGTTGAGGGCTGATTGATCCATGGGATGGGCAGGGGCAATTTTGTCTTCGATTAAGACGCCTTGTTCCAGTTCGGCGGGGGGTTTGCTCAGGGTCGGGAAGCCAGGGGGTGGTGGTGCATTCTTTTGGCTGGCGATTCTCTCCGCGTAGAGCTCCCCGGTTGGCTTCTCCTTGCCAACGTAGCCGCTTCCGTAGACCTTTCTCCTATCCACTTCAATCTTTTCCTCTCGCACATCGTCAAAATCCCGGAGACTGCCAAAGCGCTCAATCGCGACTTCGTCCACTGGCCGGCCGGTTTCCTCGGCGATGGTGTAGACAGCCTTGAGCTTCGTCATGCGCCATTGTGACCCGTCGTCGCCAAAGGTGTATCTGACCTCCCGCGGCTTGCCGGTCTCTGGCTCCTCTGCCGGCTTATTGCTCGCCTCTTCCAGGCCCCTGTTTAGTTCCCGATGATGCAACACCCTCTTCGGCTCCTCCCTCACAGGCGAGGGACTTTTCCGTTTGTTACGCTGGACATAGTCAATATCCAGCGCAGACGGCGCCGTCATCCACGAGTCTCGGACCAATGACGACTTGGATTCACCCGGCGCGAGTTCCTCGTCTGGCAGTGGTAGGTCTTCTTTCGGGTCGGATGCTTTTAAATCCTTCGTGTCCTTCCCGCTGCGCCGGTGCCTGTCTCTGTCTCTGTCCCGGTCATCATCTCTATGCCGGTGTCGATGCCGCCTTGACTCGTCGTCCTCATCATCCCGGCGGTACCGCTTATGCCTGCGGCTCTCATCGTCTTGGTCGTCGCGTCGTCGTCTTCGATCGCTGTCTCTGTCGCGCTCTGTTGACCTGTCTCGTCTCGACTCTCGATGGTGGTGTCTATGTTTTCTGTCTCTGCGCTCCTCCTTTTCCTTTTGGCGCTCACGCTCGGCCCTTTCGGCAGCGAGAGACTTTTCAAAGTCTTCGAGGCTGTCCATTTTCTGGGGTTGTTTGCTGGGGTTGATGGCGACGATGCATTGGAAATTTAAGAAGCCAGAGCCGCCAGTGACGTCGAGAACTGGGAGCTCCATTCAAATGTGCACCGTGCACGACGCTAGGATTATAGCGCCGATGCTTAGTGGGGTAGGGGTTGTACTAGGGGTGCCCCACTGTTGACTTCACTTTTTGGTGGCATCCTCCCCCACTGAACTCCAACATATTGAGTTGAGCAACACAGAAGTTGGAGACACAGCGGCAGTGCTGAAAGTATGTGCCATATCCTCTCATCATCTCGGAAGTGAATAACAACTTCTGACCACCACCTTTCCCCATCTCAAAACAACTCCAACCTCCAAAGTGGCTGAGCAAAACGGGAAGTAACCCTTCCGTTCGGCAGAGCCCATCCCCAACCTTCAACCTGACGTTGCCTCCCGCTGTCAACCACCTGTGACTATCCGAGTTTATCTCTGTACCATTCCAAACCTCGTCTTCGGGTTGGTCTCGAGAGAAAAGGACGCTTATGACTAGCTTCATTGTCCCCAACTCATGGCCGCCATGTGGCTTTATCCTCCAACAATGAATAGTCCCCTTCTCTTTTTGTTTCCACGTTTCAGGAATATCACGAGATGGTCCGGTTTTGCTCTATTGTCTCCCCGTACTCCCAGTTATTTGTCTTCCCGGCAATCTTCATCATTGAGATAGACTTGTCAGTGTGCAAGGAAGTACCTTGACCTAAAACCTCCGACAGACCGGTTTCCTTCCGGGCCCGCCCTAACGCGGCCATCCCATCCCATCTCAGCCTCTTCCTGTGTTTCCGGGATTGAAACGTGCCGGTGTTGTGTCTGTCTGTCCTGACCAAATCTGCCGACCAGCCAGGTGATCTGCTTGTGTACTGTACCAAGTATCGAGCTTGCTAATAATCTCGAGCTGCGATGACTGATGTCTTTGCAGGAGTTAATCAGCATTTAATATAGCTACAGGGCGCGCTGTGTATACTCGGATCCGATAGAGCTTGCTATCTTCGGCTGTGAAGCTTTTATTTAACATTGGTGTTATTTTCGCCCTGCGAAGCTTTTATTTAACATTGGTGTTATTTTCGCCTTGCGCTAGTTTGAGATTTGATAGTATTTGTTATTGCAAGCGTTTTATTTAAGCAGATCATAGTCTCAATAGCTATTCTAATCATAGTAGCTCCCTTAATTTTGAGTGGGAAGATATACTGCGTAAGCGCCGGTAGGAACGGCAACTACCTTGGTGTCCTGTCGTCTCGTATGCATCTCAGTGGCGGGCCGGGGGACAAGAACTCACCGCACCACCACACCATTTCCCACCAAAAGCGGTTTCTCGGATTAAAATGGTCAAAAAATGGAGAGATTGTCTCTGTGCCACGAGGCGACCGCGGTGGAATTGCGTCACTGTCGTTACACCGACATCTCTCGACGTAACTTCTCTTTCACACGTAGAACCGAGGGGTGATGATGACTGTCGTGAAATCAGGCAACAGGTGAGAAAATGTAATGTATTAACCACAAAATTGAGAAGTGCATATTCCCAGCCCGTAAATCCCCCAACAAGTGCGAAAAAAGAAACAAAAAAAAGATCCCAAAACGCCGACTTGCTTGTTCATTCCCATCATTAACCTTGATCCATTCATCTCACAAAAGAGCAAAAAAAAAAAAATGAAAAATACACCCCAGGGTATAACCTAACATCAATTCCTACATCCCATCCCATCCATCTTCAACACCATTTTTATATCCTTCAATCAAAACCACCCAGCTACACACCATCAATATCCATACCGCTGCTGCGTATACTGCTGCCCTTGCTGCTGCTGCTGCTGCCCCCCACCCGGCTGCAAAGGCGAAGGAACCTTTGCGTAATCAGCCGGGTTATACGCCGCATAAGGCGACTTCTGAATCGAATCATGCTTCCTCTGCCCCGTGTGATGCTCCTCATTCGTCTCCCTATGCGGCGCCAACTGCTGTTGCTGCCCTGGGTACCCCCCTTTCAGATCAGGGTTCGGAGACGTGATGCTTGACTGATAACTCGCCGGGCGTGAACCCGCATTCGACCACTGGCCCTGCTGCGAGTGTGGACTGCCGTGGTTGGTGGGGGGGCGGTTTGGATCAACTAATGACTCCCGGTTAGCTGAGCTCGGTGTGGGTTGCGGTGAAGGCAATGGTGAATTAAATTTCGGGGTGCGCTGACCGTTGGCAAAGACAAAGTCGCCAGGCATTTCGACGGCAAAGTTGTTGTTGTTGTTGGTTTGGCCAGCCTCTACGCCAGGGAGTTCCTGGGGGCCGTTATCATGGGGGATTTGCCCGTATTGGGGTGGTTGTTGCTGCTGTTGCTGGGCTGCTTGGATTTGCTGCTGGAGACCCCCCGGCCCTTGAGAGCCTGCCGTGCCGGGTCGTCCGTAGGGGTTGTGCACTGATGTGACTCTGGGGATTTGGTACGGCATTCTTGGTGAGTGCATCTGCGGCGGGGTGCTGCCGCCGTTGATAGACGGTGAGTAGTGAAGACTGGAAGGAGACGGCAATGGTGATCGTACAGTGTTGCGTCTGTCGGCTGGGTTGAGCGTCTTCAGCTTTCCGTCCTCAATCATGGCTGACAGCACACCGGCATCCAGCAGCTCGGCCTTCTTGATCATCCTCTGCACCATTTCGGCCGACGCCTTCTTCATCTGAGACCTGACATAGCTGACCATGGTGACGTTGCACTTGATTTCGATGTCCTCGCGGAGGTAGAGTCCGTCCGAAGGTACGCCTAATGCTTTGAGGCCAATCTCTGGCACCTCGGGGGGCTCGACACCGGGTTGGTTACCCGCGATGCGATAGGTGCTGCGCATGTCGATATTCATGGGCGCGTAGACGTGTGTTTGAAGTCCCCAGGGCATATCGTGAAAGCAGCCGTTGAACTTGATAGTCGAGGATCCCATCTTGCCGATTCCAGGTACGAGCTGGAGGCGCTCCGTGATCTCATACCAAGTCGAGTAATACTCATCGGTCTCGGCATTTTGAGGCGCCGCGATGGGCTTGTGGTCGATAACCAGCGGGTTGAGCGTGATGACTTCTGAATGGGAATGAAGAATATCAATGGCGAGTTGGCGGGGGATAAAGCCCGGGATGGGCGTGATGACGGTGAAGGTGTCCTTCTTCCGCAACATGGCGAATGAGTTGGTCCTGAACTCTTACGGTTGTATGAGAGAATAAAAGTTGGATATACAGTTCGAGATGGTGATGTGAGCGATTACCCGTTCCAGGTTGTTAGTTCTGGGGGATGCAGAATGAAAAACTAGAATAAAGCTGCCAGGTCGGCATGGGATATGGGGTAGGAGTGCTAAAAATGGTACAACAAAGAAGCTGTGATAGTATCAAAGAGGGGAGAGGGCGTGGGAAGCGGGTTGATCAGATGGGACCTGGGGTTTCTTGAACAAACGGCTGGGCTCTGGGCGGCCCTCGCTGTGAGTGGTTGAAGCTGCAGGACTGTTGGTCGCTCCCTGCTGGGCAGATGGGACCGGGACGTCTGCTCAGCCCAAAGAGGCCGGCCCAAAGCCGCCAGTCGCTCAATCCCCCCGCCAAGTGACAAGGTCAATCAACTATCTGGGCTGGGACTCGGAGACCCTTTGTCCCGGAGAGCCGTCCAGCACGATGACGTGAGACGGACGGCCGCGCCTCTTGTACGTACTACTTAATCGAGTAGTTTGCCATGCTGCTCTCTATCACTGCCCTCCTCTACATCCTCTACATCCTCTACATCCTCTACATCCTGTGATGAAGTAATGAAACATGGACAAAAGCTCAGTCCTTCGTATGGGTAACTTGAGACAAGCTGGTGGTTTTGATCGCTGGTCAAGCTCTTTAGTGTGAGAACCGTTAATGCTGTTGGGTCCACTTGACCCAAACGTGGAGGCCTTGGGTTTTTTGAATGTTTACCATGTGCGAGGAACCAGTGCACTGTCTTCCATGCCCGTGTAACCGAGAGTTGGGAGACGTGTCGCCAGCCCTTTTGTCAAGAGGCATATAGCTCATGTCGGTGGTGAGCATGAGCCCTCTGTTGGTGATATAAGTGATAGATTCTGATAGGTCCCGAGTATCTGATACCCACGGACACATGGAACACTGACTGTTGACATTTCCATGCATCCATGCTGGGCTGGAGGCTCTACAGTGGGGCACACAGTGAATTTAGCGTTGCGGTGGAAGCCTTCCCAAGTTTTGTTTGCCCCACCATGCTCGGAACCCCGCCGTCGGTTTGATTCTGTCACTGGTGCTTGGGGTCTGGACAATATTCTCCCCATCCCAAAAACAACCAACCATACCACAACAATGGCATCGACATCAGCAGACCCAGCGCAAACGCCAGAGACCAAGCCCCCCGTCGCCATCGTGGTGATTGGCATGGCAGGTTCGTGATGTGCGCCTCCGTTCCTTGCCCACCCTTCCACTAATCCAACATGACAGGCTCGGGCAAGACGACCTTCATGCAGAGAATCAACGCCTACCTCCACGAGAAGAAACAACCACCATACGTCATGAACCTCGATCCCGCCATCACCCACTCCCCCTTCCAGGCCAACATCGACATCCGCGACTCGGTCAACTACAAGAAGGTGATGGAAGAGTACAAGCTTGGCCCAAACGGAGGCATCATGACGTCTCTGAATCTCTTCGCCACAAAGGTTGACCAAGTCATGGGGATTCTCGAGAAGCGCGCCAAGCCCAACCCGGACAACCCTGCCCAAAAGCCCATTGATAAGATCCTCGTCGATACGCCCGGTCAGATCGAAGTGTTTGTCTGGTCAGCTTCGGGCACAATTCTTCTGGAGTCGCTCGCATCATCGTTCCCCACCGTCATCGCCTACGTAATCGACACCCCGCGCACGAGCTCAACGTCGACCTTTATGAGCAACATGCTTTATGCCTGCAGTATTCTCTACAAGATGAAGCTGCCTATGATCTTGGTGTTCAACAAGGCCGACGCGAAGGACCCATCCTTTGCCAAGGAGTGGATGACGGACTACGAAGCCTTCCAGGCTGCTCTTGCCGAGGATGAGAACAGCAATGCCTTTGGTGGTGTAGAGGGAGGGGACGGTGCTGGGAGTGGGTATATGGGCGGTCTTATCAACAGTATGAGCCTGATGCTCGAGGAGTTCTACTCTCACCTCAGCGTCGTCGGCGTCAGTTCGCTCCTCGGTACTGGTATCGATGAATTCTTTGAGGCTGTTGCGGAAAAGACAGAGGAGTTCAAGAAGGACTACCAGCCAGAGCTGGACCGGAGGCGCGAGGAGCGGGAGAAGAACAAGGAGAAGCAGCGCGAAAAGCAGCTTGCCAAGATGATGACTGACATGAACATGGGCGACTCGTCCATGTCCAAGGCTGTGGCCGATCTCAAGGCTGGCGACGAGGACGAGAAGGACGCCCCGACTCTGAGCTCTGACGAAGACGAAGACGAAGACGACATCGACATTGATGAGGATGACCGAGAAGGGCTGCAAGCTAGATACTCGGCCGCCATGCAGTCGGACTCTGTTGAGACGGATGCTAGCTTTGCAAAGTATATTTACTCTCAGCGCTAGGCGCACATGAGTAAAAGAGACTGGGCAGTGGGAGGAATAAAGGGTATATTTAGCATTTGACTCGGCGTTTAGACATGATACCAGGGTGTTTTTGGTAGCGGAAAAAGACGAAATTAAGTTTTCATGACCAGACTATATTCTGTTCCTGTCCAATGTACCCCCAACGCCATGATGTGCAAAATGCTGTTCCTGCCACCGAGCCGTAGCCACCCCCTCGTAAGGTGTTATCTATGGCAGCTCCATCTTTATGTTCCTCAATCCCATTCGTGTTTTTTAGTTTTCGTTCGCCTGAGTGTATGAATCGATCACCGAGCCTCGAACTGAACCATTCTATACACGAGATTTGTCAGCGTTTTGAGCGATGGACGGGGGAGAGGGGAGGGGGATGAACAAACCTTCTGGTGCGCTCCTTGTAGAGGACACGGGCACCGCACTTTTGGCAGCGGATGGGAGCGCCCTTTTCGAGGGGGACGCGGACGGCGCAGTCGCCGCAGCGGTAGATCATTGTGCCCGAGCTGGCGGCGACGTCGTCGCGCTGGGAGAAGGCGCCCGAGGGGGCTTCGTAGTCTTGGCCGGACATTTCTTTTTCCTGGTTGACGACGGTGAGTGATTGGGTGTAAGTGATTGCTTGGGAAGTGCGATGGATTGTTTGTGGATGAGATGGTTGACGATAGCGAATGGATGGACGGAGTGGAGGGGCTCTATCAAAGACAGATTGATGCGCGCGCTGACTGACGGGAGAGCAGCAGCAAGGCAGAAAAAAAGGCGGAGGGGGGCGGCAAAACCTTTGGCGGTGGGAAACGGACGGTGAAACAGCAGGGATCACGTGGTAGTTTGGGGTGATTGACAGGGGGTTTCCGGCAGGCAAGGAGACCCCGGGAGACGACGCTATCGGGAATCGAGACCCGGGGAAGGCTGCTGTCAGGTGAACCTTGACAGCAGTTGCTTCCCTTAAACAACAAACGAGTAAATACTGTATATTTTTTTTTGTATAAATTCTTGATACCCCAGACCTTTCACGGCTGGCATACCTCAAACATAACCATCCTTACCCTCCCTCACCAACAAAATAACCCATGTTCTCCAACGACAACCCCCCATCACCACCCACCCAACCACTCCCCTCCCCCTCAACCTTCGACACCACCACCCCCCCCTCTCAAGAAACCGACTGCCCCTTCTGTCACATCTCCCTCACCTACCCCCCCTACCCCCCATCCTCCCCCCCACCCCCTGATTCCCTCTCCCCAACCCTAACCCATCCCCACCCATCAACCCACCTGATCCTCTCCACCCCCCTTTTGATCGCCTTCCTCGACATAATGCCCCTCTCTGTAGGCCACCTCCTCCTCTGCCCCCGCGCCCACCGCCCAAAACTAACAGACGTCACCCCCGCCGAATCCGCCGAGCTGGGGAAGTACCTCCGGATCCTCTCGACAGCAGTCTCCAGAGCGACAGGCATCAAAGACTGGAACGTGGTGCAAAACAACGGAGCGGCGGCGGCGCAGGTGGTGCCCCATTGCCATTTTCACGTTATCCCCAGGCCAGAACTGAGGGATAAGAGGAATGAGAGGTTTACTAGTACCATGTTTGGGCGTGGGCAGAGGGATGAGTTGGATGAGGAGGAGGGGGAGAAGCTGGCGGGGGAGATTAGGGAGATGGTGAGGGTGGTGGTGAGGGATGATGAGGAGAGGGAGGGGAGGGGCAAGTTGTAGGGGGGGATATGAGCATGGATATGGGTGTTGATGGTGGGCTTGGATCAGCATGATGAAGCTATCATGTGTTGGGTGTGGAACGAGGAAGCGAGGTGTGCGTTGAGATACCCCCTTTTTGTATTTGGCGTTGAAAGTTCCATGAGAAAAGGCCCCGGGGCGATCTAGTGGAGGATGGAAACATGGCGGCGCGAAAATAGCAGCACAATTTCCCAAATGCTAAACACTCCGCTGGAGATAGAGTTCTCGATTGAAAATCCCCCACCCCCCTAAGCTACATAGCTGCCAACAAACAAGCGCAACTCGTCCGTCTCAAATCTACTCATCATCCCCAAAGAAAACCTTGATCGGCAACCAATCATCCCCACACACCTTGAACCGGTCAGGAATAGCATCAATCTTCTTGACCTCCTCCTCAGTCAACTCCCAATCATCCAGCTCAAAGTTGGCCTTGATCCTCGACTCAGTGACGCTCTTGGGCAGGACACTCCACCCCTTTTGAACCCCCCACGCGAGCAGCACCTGCTGCGGCGTCTTGCCTTTAGCTTCAGCAATAGCCTTGATCGTGTCGTTGGTGTACAACGGCGAGTCACTGCTTCCGAGAGGGGAGTACCCCGACGAGTGAATCCCCTTGGCCGTGTTGTAGGCGACCAGCTTAGGGGAGGGGTTGCCAGGGTGAAGTTCGATTTGGTTGACGGCCGGGACCATCTTTTCTCTCCATCAGCGACCCTTATCTCTCGAGATGGAATCAAAAAGAATGAACGTACCTTGCAAGAAGGATCACCAAGAAGCCTCTCCAGGTTCTTAATCCCAAAATTACTAACTCCGATAGCCTTCACCTTCCCCGTCTCCACCAGCTTCTGCATCTCCCTCCACGTATCGACAAAATCCCAATCCTGATACACCTCCCCCTTGCCCTCATTCTCCCCCTGCCTCTCCGGATCAATACTCGCCGGCCAATGCACCAAGAACAAATCGACATACTCCACCCCCAAGTTCTCCAAGCTCTTCTCCAACCCCTCCCTCACCCTCTTGTGCCAGGGGTTGTCCAGCTTGGTCGTCAGCCAGATCTCTTCCCGGGGGACGCCAGACGCCTTGATCCCCTGCCCGACTTCCTTCTCGTTGCGATACCCAAAGGCCGTGTCAATGTGGCGGTATCCATTCCGAAGAGCCGCCTCAACCGCCTTTCCGACCTCACCGGGGGAGGACTGCCAGGTTCCGAGGCCGATGGCTGGGATGGAGAGACCTGGGACGTTGAGGGGGTACCGTTTGCTAAAAGTGAACGTTAGTTAAGGCGGCGAAAGGGAAGAGAGCGGGAAACATACGTTGTCTTCTTAGTCGAAGCCATTGTTGCTAGCGAACGCGAGATGGCCGGGTATGAGTAAATGGAAGACGAAGATCGAAAAGGGCGGAGACTTGTCCTGGCTACTTGTCTGGGAATTGGTCTCAGAATAGAGAGCATGGTACAGCGTAAGGTATTTCAGAGACAAAAACAGCCCTCTTATAGGTAGAACGAAAGGCTTCGGTTACCTTCTACTCTCCTAATAATTTCCCACCCACTCCCTCAGCTTATGACGTTATCATATCCCCGCGCGCGGGATTCAATGAGGGGTTCGTCTGACCGCGCTACTGTACCTCAGGAGGAGCTTGAGCTCTGATGGTGACAATCTGGTGGGGTACAAGACCTGCAGGCCGAGCTGTCTGGGAGGGGCTTCATTGGTCTTTTGTGTGTCCAAAAGGGGGCTTGACGGGCCGACACTGCGGGTGTTGTACAATACGAAAAGAAAGGGTGGAGATTCGAATACGTTGACATAGTCTCTAGAAAAGACAAGATGGACGATCCTCTATCGCGGCTGAAGCGTCTCTTGAAGAGAACATACCCCTGACCAAGTGTCATCATGCATGCAGGTACCCGAGACCCAAGCAAGGGGTCAAAGTCCGAGATCAACAAGAGCCGCACTATATCAGTCGTCCCATGATATAAATGAACCCCAAAAACTTTGTCATGCTTCGCTATAATAAAACAACTCAAAGATTAAAGCCCGTCTTTCTTTTAACACCCCCCCATCCAACACCAACAAAAAAACGCTGCTAAATTGACCCTCAGTACATCTGCGCTTTGACACCAGTAAAAAGATTCGAGTAATGAACCATAAAGTTCTTGATGGACTCGGCAGGCTTGGGCGAAGCTGTGCGATCACCGATGCGGTGGATTTCCTAACCCTCTGTGCCACTGCTTCTGAAAGTAGCACAAAGCGCCGCGTAGTGGTGCGTGAGGTCCAGGACGTTCTGCGGCAGGTTAGTGGCCTGAATGATGCTCCGAATCTTGACGGCGCCCTCATCCTCAATAAGAATGCGAATTGTGTGTAGCAGCTCGGGCGAGAACTCGCTGTACCACCTATACTGCCAAGTTACCAGCCGGATGACTGCCGCAACCGCATCTCGTGTGAGCTTGGTCTTCATAAACACCTTCAAGATACCCGCAAGGGCCTTGGGGCTAAACCGCTGTCCGAGACAGGCACGGTACGCCTCCACAGCCTCGTCCGTGTGCTGGAGGCGCTCGGCAAGGCTGCCAAGAATCTCCCACTCCTCAGGGGACTTCTTGTACTGCATGCTTTGAGCGCGGTACTGAGCCATCTGGGTACGCCATATTGTGTAGACGCGGAGGTCCTCGTAGAGTACCATGAAAAGGCTGTCAAGCCAACGCTCACACAGCCGCTTGTTATTAAGCCGGGAGGAGTGGTCCTCGGAACCCTGTCCAATGTTAGCAACTGGCCCTACGTGGTCAGACACTGCTGCACTCACCTTCTCTTCTGCCTTCTTCACCACATCGGGGTCCATGGCACTCGAAGGTCTCTCGATATCTTCGGGCTTTCCATTGGCCGCTGGTGGCGCCAGATTTTCACCGTCAGCTTCCTGGCCAGCTTCTTCGCTCTTTTCAGCCACCTCAGTCTCCCCCACCGCGGTTTCTCCGTTAACGCCTGGGTCAGGGCTTCCGCGAAGAACATCGGTGCTAGGATTTCGGTTCGCGGGGTAATGCGAGGATTCCTGCTTCTCACGGTACTCGTCTTCCATGACGAAGACGTTGCTCCGGATCTTGAGCAGCTGGTCCCAGCCAATCTTGGCTGTCATTTCGGTCAAGATGGCGTAGGCCTGCTTGAAGGTGCCACGATAAGTGGCCGCGCGGAGGCCCAAGAGACTCGGGTCAATCTGCTCCGAGTAACGAAAATCGGGCTCACTGTCGATCTCGTCTAGCCTCGTCTCGGGGAGGGTTGGCAAGTGATACTCCTTCGGCTCCGGCATGATCGGTGCATCCTTATCCTGGTAGGTAAACATCGGGCACGAGTTGAGTGTCGTCAGCGCATTTTCCCAATCTTCCATGGCCACATAGACCTGGGCGAGTCTAGCCCATGTTCCAAACTCGCTTGGTGCTGCGATGGTGCTTCGGTCGGCGCAGCCAAGAGCCAGCCGTAGTCTCTCTTCCCTCTGTTCGGGAGTGGTGGCAGTCTCGGCCTTCTTCAACAGGAATTCGGCTTGCGTGTCCAGCATGACATAATCCATGGGCATTTCCTTGATGGCTTCGTGCAGGACGCGGATGCCTTGTACCTCCTCGTTGCCCATGAACATGACCTTGGCCAGCAAAGATGCAACCTCAACGTTCTGCGTGCGCAATTTCTCGAACAAGTTGATACCCGAGGCGTAGCGACCGGTAGTGTGAAAGTATTTTATGAGACCAGTCGTGAGATGGTTCGAAACAACGTTGGGTACCTGTACAACCGAGTCGGACCCGAGCGACCAGCCTGCCCGTCCATTAGCAATCGCTCGTCGTTGACGTATTCTGGTATGACAACGTACCCCTGAAAAATAGCTGCTCGGCTGCGCTGAGGAAGCGATGTTCGGTCTCCGTGTTAGTGACGGGGTTGAACCGTCTCACGCACATGATCTTCCTTATAGCATCACCTGTTCCATCGTCGGCATAAGAATAGGCTCGCAACACACTGCAGAGATATGTCTCTAGCCAGAGCTCGTCGGTTGCCTTGCGCTTTTCGCCGCGCTCGTCAATACAGTAAGCTTCTACTGAACCAGGAAAGGGGGCATGCACGCGCATATCGACTCGGGAGAAGGCATTGTAGCAGCTGGAAAGAAGGAGTTGTCAGCTAACGTGCTGAATACACAATCGTGGGTATAGGCGTACCAGTAGGTGCCCTCGAGCGTCTTTGTGGTTGCCGAGGGGCCAAACTCTTTGTATGCAAGAGTGTTGATGTAGGCAGCCAGACTGGCTGACGACGAGGCATCTACACCAGTGACATGGTGGTACACCCCAACTTGCTTGGTTTGTTGTCTCAATGGTTGTTTGACGAGGTGGACGAGGTCAGGGGGCCCCAGTTCACGAAGGGAGCTCAGAGACTCGGTGCGAGCCTCAATTGCTTCGTGCAGGACCTCTTCCGTGACCCTGAGAGCAGTGTTAGTGGTTATTGAAGAGTGCCTGGCAATGACTGAGGTGGAGGCCGACGAACTCGGGAACCGCTGGCGCTACCATGATGGATGCGCCGTTGCGACGGGAATGAGATGCCCCTCAGGGAGCTCGAGAAGACGAAGCTGGTCTTAAGAAGAAGACGGGAGCTTGGACCTTGCGGTTGGATTGGAACCTGGGTGGGTAGTGGCGATTGAGAGCTGAAGCGGTGCTATTTGGATATAAACATGTATGCGCGCTGCAATCCCCAAGTCCAGAAACGTCTGATGCGCCAACTGCACAAGACTGGACGAATGCGAGGGGGTGATGTCGGGTTGTTCTGGTCTGGCCTACCCCGTGGTGTTGCTGCACAGTGGCCCAAATGCCAAATGTCTCCTGCAGCCGACAGCTTTAGTGGGGCACAGTGGGATTGGTGTTCCTTGTAAGGCCGCGCACGGTCCCGGGCCGGGCAGGCATATCGTCACTCTCAGCACTTCGGGCGGTGCCAAGAGAGTGCCAATGAAAGCTGCCGGCCGGCATGTCGCGTCTCGAAATATACCAACCGCGATTTGGTTATTGGAGGATTTGGAGATGGACATGCGCATTCGACTACTTGCGCATACGATACATGGCAGCAGCTTGAGACTTTCAACCCTAGCCTACCACTGATAGTCGCGCCAGTTCATCCAACGGAGTCCTGCATGACCACTTTGGCATTTCACCGGCGTCAACATGGCAAGTCTCTTGCACCGTCCCGTCCAGCTCCATCAACCATGGAGAAACCACACAGAACCAATGCTAATCGCTTCGCCGCCCAGCCTGCATTTCAAGCAATCAATGTCGAACCCGACGAAATCGTCGATGAGGAGATCGACAACACTCGAGATATCCAGGTGGAAGATGCCCTGAAGCTATTCCAAACCGCCCTCAAACTACACTCGCAAGGCCCCAAGTTCTTCGATGACGCGGCCGACGCCTATAACGCCCTTTTCGGCTCCGAAATCTTCAAATATCCAGAGGCAAAGACCGAGTACGAGCGGGCCGAAGCGGGCGAAGATGGCGTCCTGGCTGTTGAGCCCACGTTTGCGACAGTGCTCGATGCCGCTGCCGCAGAGACCGACACCCTGAGCAACACCCTCCCACAAGCCTTCTACCTCGCGTACAAAAACCACGGCCAATTTATCGTCGATCGGATTAGGCGCAAGATCCGAAAAGCTTTCGTGGCCAAGTCGGCCGCTCTTGAGGATCCAGCTGTGTTGGAAGATGCCAGGAAGGCACTGGAGGATTTCAGCGCCGCGCTCGACCGTGACCCCTCAGACGCCGAGTTATGGAGAAAAACCGCCCGCATGGCTGCTTTCCTGAAAAGCAGCCGGATTAGTCGCTACAGCTTGGAGGCTGCCATCGAATTGGACGATGACCCTGCGGTGGACGAGGTGGAGCCCCCTTCGTTGGCAGAAGGATATGCGGGCGAGGATCTCAAAGACCAGCTTCAAGTCTTGGGGGATGAAATGGCGCTGGGCCATCCGATAATGAAGCCCTTTGTGGAACGAGGACTTCCTCCCATGCTGAAACGGTATCAAGATCCAATACCCTTTCTTCCGAATCCTGCCAAGTCATTGGCTGTGCCCAAGAAACAGACAACAGATGTCCCACCCCCACGACATGTTATTTCTGCCGCGAGCTCCTCCTGGACAGAGCTGGGTGCGGCCATGGTGCGTTTCGTCGAGGAAGAGGGGCTTTCAGGACAGGCGGTGTTTTTGGAAACTCCAGATGCGGCGGACGATGAGGATATCCAGATGGAAATAGATATGCAACTTTTGCCTCCGGATTCCTCGCCTCCTCCCGACAGGCCATCTGAATTTGCTGTGAAAGACGAACAAGCTTCGGGCGAGCAATCCGAGAAACCACAAGCGGCTGAGGAAGAATCCACGCCAATGGTGGCAGAGCCGGCATCCCTGGGTGAAGCAACGGGCAAGGAGCGTGCTTTGCCTTCCAGGAAGCGTTCTCAGTCAGTTGCTGGGCTTCCCGATCCCCCGGAAGAAGAGGCGGCCGAGGGCAAGCGGAGCAAGCGGACTCGACGGCGGGAAACAGGGCGACGAGAAACAGCGGCGGAAGAGATTGTGGATCCTGCCCGGCTTCTCGCGACGCAATTGCAACCGTTACAGGCCGCTGACCAGAATCTGTTTCAAACGACCAAGAATCTTCTGGAGAATCTTGGAGTAACGGACCATGTGACACTGGAAAGAATAGCTGAGGTCCTTGATTCGTGTGCGTCTGACGACCGGATGGGGAAGATTCAGAATCTATCAACCGTTGATCTTCGAGATTCGATTCTCCAGTTTGACGAGGAGAATGCCACTGTCCTGCTAAGTAAGCGTGAGCGCCCGCAGCTCAGTCTCTCGGCCTTCCTTGAGCACACCAAGTCAGGGTCTCAGCGAGCAAATGAGGCCCCGACGTTCGATGAGACCCGGGGCGTTCGAGCTTTTGTTGAAAAGATCAACAATGGATGGTACCCAGTTCAAGACGTGGTGTTTGAGTTTCTCAAGATCATTATGCCTACATACACTGGGACCAAATGGCCAGACCACACCAAGACAACGCTGTCGGATGTTATCACACAGTTTGGCTCCAGCATATACGAGAGGGTCACCTACGAGCTCGACTTGTGCCTTGCGAAGGGCGACCATGAGGCGCATCTTGAGCTAGTCAAGCTGGTACATATGGTGTTTGAACTCTACCTGGACGTCTATGAACGCACCACCAACCCTAACAGCACGGCAGAAGAAAGCACCAAGGTTGAGATTCAGCTGCGTGTGGACAAGTGGATGGACCTCACGACGGAAGTCACAAGACAACGGAATCCAAACACAGACGACGAGCTCTCGTCACGCTTCCTGTGGGCTGGAGTGTATGCCACAACATTGGCGAAAGACACACCACGAGATCATATCCTCAACTGTTGGCACAGCATGTACGATCATCTTCTCGAGTCCTCCATCAGCGAAATCACATTGCCCAACAACGCTGTTATGCCCGAAATTTCAACCGCTGCTGCCGAACGCGAGATATCAAAGTTGACGACGATGGACTTCTTCTTGGGTCTCTTCCAGGAGGACATGGGTGATCCAACCTCTGTGATTGACAGTCTAGAACCGGTTTTGAACCCGGAAAATGTTTACATCACGGTGCCTGGCACGTCGGAGCCAAATGGAACCGACGGTGACCACTCATGGGCAAAGCAACAGAAGTTGCCGCTCTTGGAGTGCGCAAGCCAGAGTCTGATGGACTTGTGGAAGTTCCTCAAGCGGAGCAGCACGGAGCTCAGGCTGTTGCTATGGTCACGACTGGGCGAGGCGTACGGCAAGATTAGCTATGCGACCAAACAGTTCTCGTGCTTTTTGAGGAGCATCGAAACCATCATCACCGACTTTGAACATGCAGATTACCTCGAGACACCACCCGAACCAAGGAGGGCCCTGTTTATGACCATGATCAAGGCGCTGGATGATCTGATCATACAATCATTGCACTTGGCCTTGAACGACAACAGCGCATTCGACATCATTGATGAGGAGCACTTGAAGTCAACCCTCTCGGCCCTCGCCAAACTCAGCTGTCTCCTTCATGTAGCAGCCATGTACGAGGACGAGACTCGCATCGGGATGAGACCGGCGCCGGCCAACAACTCAACTCTACGATCGTTCCTCAACAAGCTTCAGGAGATGCAGGTGAGAACTTGGTCCCTTCAGTATACCATGCTCAAGGTCGGCATTCAGCAGCATCCAGACGCTTTCCCCAACTACGAAAACGACTTGGCCGAGTACCTGGCGGCCGTTCATCAAGTTCTCGGTCTGCGCAAGAGCTGCAAGTCGTCCAACAAGATCTTCCTCAAGATGATGCGGGTGGAGCTCCTGAAGCAGAGGAACATTGAGAACTGGGAAGATTACCTGGGGCAGGTCCTTTACGATCTGCACGGCTTGAAGCTCGGAGTTGGTATCTGGGAGGTTCAGGAGCATGGCTGCGAGCCTGAGAATCTCGAGAAGCGCCAGGCTCTGCAGCTTGTCGAGAAGATCACCGTCCTTGCCAACAGGATGTCGATGAAGGATCTCCTGAAATCGGATCTCAAGACCACGATTGAACGGATGCAGCAGGCGATTGGGACTACCAAGTCCAATCCCCAGATGACGCACAATCTGCGCAATTACACCGAGTACCTCAAGACTCCCATCCACCCCTTGCACCTCTTCCAGGCGCTCGACGGCAGTATCGACCTCGACGCCGTCACCATTAACACCGTGGACAGCGCTCCCGCCAAGCACGGGTGGTACTTCCTCCTCGGCATGATCGGTCTCACCAAGTTCAAGGGCGTCGAGCTCGCGCGGCGCCAAACACCGGGCGCTACTGACGATCTCCGCATTGGCGCCACGTACCTGCGCCTCCAGCTTCAGTTCACCCCCGACCGTTGGGATGCGTGGTTCCGTCTGGCCGAGTGCTTCGACTATGAGCTGGACGAGTCTGTCCTCTGGAGCGCGGACAAGATGAACAAGGACCGGGCTGAGCTGGTGAAGTTCCAGCGAAGCTCTATCCATTGTTACACGCTGGCGTTGTCGCATTCGTATGCCTGGTCGGCTGACCCGCACGCGTATGGGGCTTCAGAAGATGAGAAGGAGGCGCTGAACGACATGTACCGCGAGTTTGGCATGCGGATGTATGCCTCCAGCCGGGAGCCGTTTGCGATGGAGCCGTTCAAGCACTCTGATCAGGAGAGGTGGTTTATCGAGCCAGAAGGGATCGAGACTTTCCGACGGATTCGTCACAACGAGATGACAGATTATCAGGTCTGGAAGTTTGCGGCTCACTTGTTCCGCAAGGCGATGGAGGGCAAGCCAAAGGAGTGGAAGAACCCTTACATGGTGGCGAAGTGCCTGTGGAAGATGTACACCAAGGCGCCCGAGGAGCTGGATGAGAAGACTCGCCGGCATCGTCCCACAGTGAAGATGATTCTGAGGGCGCTCGAGAAGACAGTGGAGGTGTTGTCGGCGTTGCCGAAGCCTCGCAGTGGTCAGGATCCGATTCTCGAGCCGCACTACAAGATTGTCTCTGTGGTTGACAAGCTGGTTCGTCGGGGGGATTTACCCCGTCAAGAAGCTGCTGATCTTCTTCAGCGTCAGCCGTACGCTATCGACAGAGGGAAACCAGTTACGGTCGATACCCCTGAGGAGTGGGAGGCGTACATTATTCGGTGCTTGCGGTACTTGCGAGACAAGGATAAGTCCAACTGGCAACATCGCATTATCATGCGGCATGCTCGGGTGCTCTTTCCCGACTCCGTGGACGAGAACGACCCTGCCAACGTCGACGCCGCCAAGGCAGCCTTTGCCGTCTTGAGAGAAAACATGTTCACCAAGACCATGGTGATGAACGTCTGGAAGTGTGAAGCCGAGCGTTCTGGTCGGCACTACGTCTACACCTGGCGCTACATCAAATACGTCGCCAAGATCCTCGCCGCCCTGAACGACAGAACCAACCTCGAGGCTGTCCTCCGACGTATTCGCAAGCGCGGCGCCGACTTTTACTACTTCAACGAGCTCTGGCAGTACTGTGTCCAAATCTACCTCAAGCTGATCAGGCAAACCTTCAACGTCCCCTCCGCCGGCGAGGACGCCTTCAAGACGTTGAATACCGAAGAATTCGACGTCGTAGGCGAGAAAATCACCGAGTGGGCCACCACGCCCGCAGCAGAATCCCACCCTGCCCTCAACGCAATGAAGGAAGCGGTCGAGCTGAAGAAGTTGAACTCCAACCTCATGAAGGCGGGTCCCATCGACGACCTGATCACAGACTGCTACTCAACCATCTACCTCGATGTCAGACCTGAGCTGCCCCGGCCAGCTGAACATAGCACCGAAACCCAACCGGGTGAAGATTCCTCTCAGCAACCACCACCGTCCGCTTCTCAAGACGGGGTTGGGGTTGGGGTTCCGGCGGCGGAACTCAAAAGCAAGCTCCTCCAGAACCTGGTCGCCCAAGAAGAAAAGACCGTTCTCGGCTCGTTGCGGGCGGTGTCGGAGCAGCCTGACCGTTCTGAAAAAGCGTCCGTGGCAGGGGATGCAGCACCGCGAAGCCACAGACTGGGCGTTCGTCGGCCGAACATCCTGCGCAAGGCGGACGATGCCGTGCAGGCTGTTTTGCGGGTTGCTGAGGCGCCAAAGTCGGCGGTTAGCGGTGCCTCCCGCGGCAGAGGTAAAAATGGGCGGACGCCAAGGGAGAGTGAGGATGAGGAGGGGGAGGAGGAGGGGGAGGATGTGGAGATGAAGGATGCCGGTGCTGCTGCGGGTGGACATTCGAGGAAGGCGAGTAAGGCGAGTAATAATGCTGGGGGGGTTGTGGGGGTTGGGAGCGAAAGGTCGACTCCTGGGCCCGGGGGTTGGAATGATGATGATGACGATGAGAGTGACTTGAGTGC